ATTGGAAAGTATGTTTATCGTTGCACCAAGGTGGGAGTGTGGACTCCCGCCAACAAACATTATCACTCACATCACAAGGGTTACAAAATTTTACATACAATGCACAACGTGCTCGTGAGGCACTAGCTAAATTTCTAGCTAGTGCCGAATTACCTCTTTCTTTTGCAAATGACGCGTCATTCGAAGAATTCATACAGACAGCCTTTTGCACGCAATTTAAACGGGTAAGTAGAAACACAACTTATTCTGATTGCATGAAAGTGTTTTATGTAATGAGACAATCTCTTGTTTATAATTTTAGGACTTTTAATGCTACTATATCTTATACTTCTGATCTATGGGATGGGTGCAATAAAACTGGATATTTATGCATCACGGCGAATTATGTTGACGATGATGAATGGGTTTTCCAAAAAGAATAATAAGTTTTCGTTTATGTCCATATCCTCATAACGCATCAGCTATGTTTAGTACAATAATGGAAATTTTTAGGTTTTATGGGATAGAAAATAAAGTTTTAACTATTACTTTTGATAATGCGTCAACTAACACGGCTGCAATTAACATATTTAAACATAGTTTGAAACCAACGTTTGGGGGGGAAATTTTTCATCAACGGTGTGTGTGTCACATAATCAATTTAGTAGTTCATGTAAGAATTGAACATATTTCAGATAATCTAACAAATATTAGAGAATCTTTATCATTCATATCTAGTTCTGGAGCTCAGCTCTAAGAATTCAAATAATATTGCAGGAACAATCAGATGCGCCCAAGAAAGTTTCCAACTGACGTGAGACATAGGTGGAATTTTGCCTATTTAATGTTGAAGATTGCACTCCCGTATTCACAGCTCATCACAACGTATGTAAATAGTAAGAACAATCAACTTTTTAATTTTCAATACAGATTGACAGATTGGTGAATATTTTTTAAAATTTCTAGAAGTTTTTTACAATGCCGGAGTTTATTATCCTACTGCACATTTAGTTTTACATCAAATATTTAATATTTCTGAAACATTTTCTTATTATAGGGATACAGTACTTTTTGGAAACATAGTTAAGCTAATGAAAATTAAATTTAAAAGTTATTGGTCAGGTTGTCCTATGTTATATGCATTAGCAACCATTTTAGATCCTATGTGCGGAGTAGATGGGACTGAATCTTTGATGATTGCTACATCAAAAAATTTAGGTATTGATATGCAACTAACTATTACTGACGCTAGGAAAATGTTAGAAAAGGTATTTGGTTTGTATGAAGCAAAATACAGCATAAGTCAAAAAGAACAGGGAACTTCGACGTCAACTAGCAGTTCGGGGCTTAAAGGCTCGTCGTGGAGTTTCTTGAAGAAAAAAGAGAAAACGGCAGGATCGTCATCAACACAAGCGTCTACCGAATTGGTAAAATATTTTGAAGTAAATTTTGTAATCGATGATGACAAACTGGACATCTTACTGTGGTGGAAGAGCAAGACCGATCATTTTCCAACATTGTCCGTAATAGCTCGTGACATTCTGACAACACCAGTGTCAACGGTAGCATCATAGCAAGCATTTAGAGCAATCAACCGAATTATTGACGAGAAGAGAAGCAGAATGCATCCAGATATTTTCGAGGGGCTAATGTGCGTTAAAGACTGTGAAGATGTCAGAAGACGAAAACACCAATACACAGATGATTCAATGCAAGACTATTTTTCTAACTTAGAAATAACATAATTGTAACACCCTCATCGCTAAACCGATCTAAGGCCGAGTTTAGCGAGGTGGTGCTACTTTAAAACATACTTTCTATACTTAAAATAATGTCATTTTTAAGATGCGAAAACTTGTGGTTGATTTCATCACAAAATTTTCTTAAAAGTTTTTGAACAAAATGAGTCAGTGCGTAAAATGATTACAACCACAAATCTTAGACATTAAACAGTTATTCAAAAGCGATAATAAAAAAAATATTTTGAGCCCATCTATTATTTAGAAGTACATATAAGCAAGATGCCAGATGTAGGACTTGGAGTACTCAGCCAACCTTGGAAATCATTTCATTTTTTTTTACTCTTCGGTAACAACAACATCATCTGCATCACAAGGTAAAACTAATTAGCAAAAACTCAGTAAATAGATTTCAAATAAAGTAAGTACCTAAAATCTCTTTGTTAAACATTGTTCATAAACTTTCATACTTATTCTTAGTTTAGGTATGATACAGAACTTCGGTTCCAAGTATGCCTCTTTATACATGACCTTCTCTAATTTTGGCAAATTCTCTTCTCTTAAACACTAAACGGGGTTTTTAGAATCTCTTTCTCTTGTGATCAACAAGAGACTTTCCACTAGCATTTTTCTCTAGTTGTCTCAAATAGACAGTTTCTTTAATTTGGGGTACCGGTCCCTCGCACCCCTGCTTACCCAGCCTCTCATCCATATACCATACCATAAAATCTCTTAAAGCATAAAAACATAATAAGCAAATATCATAATCTCTTTCAAAATCATTAATTATGAATACTCTTGAACATAATCATATAAGAATTTCATAAGAGAATAAACTTGCATAATCACAATTTTGAACAAGTTATATCAAATAGGTCTTGTGATGTAGTTTTGAAAATGCTTTAACTCTACTTACCTGAATTTTGATCACCACTTTGCAAGCACAAACTAGCTGGTTGTGGGGAGCCTTCAATGTGCTAATTAACCTTTAAAAACCATAGCTTTCAAAAATTACATTCATATTATCATTTGACAAAACACATAACTGCGCAATGTTACGAAAATATTCATAACAAATTCATCAAAACTCAAAATATTATGAGACTAGTGGCAAATAAAAATAGACTCAAAACTCTCTTTTTAGAGCTACTACATGATAGGTTTCGGATTTTTCAAACTAACCAAAAACAGTCCGAAATCCAGATTGAAGTATAATCTCGTCAGGAAAATGAAAGCTTTTTAACTAAACTTATAAAATTCATAACTAAATGTAAAAAAATCCGTTTGGAGTGATTTAGAAACTCACGTAAAGCTTGAGATGTATAATTTAATAAAAAAATATAAGATCTATCAAAATCATAAGTATATATAGCACGGAAATAGAATCTACATAGGCTGTATAGAGGACTTATATTTAAACATTTCATCAAATACCTAGCATGCAGATCTTAATCTTCAAAGACCACTCTCAAATACATGAATCATCATCTTAATAAGAGTTTATCTTCATATAATCATCAATAATATCAAGCTAAAATCATCAATTTCACCCAAAAATGAATATTTGAACCAAAACCTCAAGAAACTCATTTTTAAGAGTCTATAAGCAACATGCATGATAAATCCCATCAAAAATCCGAATCTGAAGTAGGATTTCAACATCTTAATCTTTGAAATCTTAGTTCCTAACATAAGAAAGAAGTTAGCTACAAGAAAAACGTGTTCCCAAGTGAATAGAAGCTTAAAACTTGGTGATTATTTTTGGTTCTAAGTTTAAAACGAGTTGAGATGGGCTAGTTGAGTCTTTAGCTCTTTCTCTCTTAAAAACCTAGGTTTGATTCTGAGTTTTGGGTGAGAAAATGAGTGAGAAGAGAGAAGAAAGTGCTATGGTCAGAGTTCTAGGGTTTTTTTTTTTACTGAAATAGACCCAAAAATGAAGTCTAAACTTGATATAAACCAAGCAAAAGTAAAGTGACCTTATAATAGAACAAGTGTTTAGGTTTTTCTAAGCCTCTAATAGTTGTCCTAACCTCATAAAATCAGCTCTAAAGTCTCTATTTTTCTTCTTCATTTAGGTGCCTAAAGTTCACTCAATTTGCTAACATAGCCTTCTCTCACAAAAACTCAAAATAGCAACTAAGTCCTCAACACATTTAAATAAAACCATATAATAAAAATATAAAATAATGATTCATCATTAAATCAATCATAATAGAGATAAAATATCATATCAAATAATCATAATAAATATCATTTTTCTTCATAAGTTTAGCACATTGAGTTCCCACATCGAGTTAGTTGCACTACACATTAAAACTGAAAACTCGATTAACAAAGCTATAAGTTTAATAAAATCATATGATAGCTATAATAATAAAATATAATGCCAACAAATAACTTTGAGGTAAATGGTAAATGTGGTGCATGATTTTAATTTACAAAATTTATTTATTATTGGCTTAAGGCTTAATTAAATCTCGGGTGTTACAATAATCTTTTGGAAGCACTTAGGTTTTGTAATTTACTATTCTTAGAATACTGCACTCTTTTTTCCTTCGCTAAGGTTTTATCCCGATCTGCCCACGGGTTTTACTTGGCAATATTTTTAATGATGTAGTCATTTATGTGTACTTATTCGTATTATCTCAATTCAATAAAATCACATCTTTTGAAAGCATATAATATATATATATATTTTTTAAATTAAATTTAAAAAAAAAAATTGCAAGGGTATAGGCCCAGGCCGGGTCCAGGCCCACGGCCGGGCTTGAGATTTTCTCCTCAGGCCCTGCACAATGCAGGGCCGTGCCAGGCATGGCCCAGGCCCGTGGCGGGCCTGGGATCGAACGTGTTTCACTAATTTTTTTTTCCTAATCACTTGTTTCACTAGTTAATTAAAAGTGAGATCACGTGCATGCACATTGTGAGACATCGGGGAAAGTTCTCTATAATAACATGTAGTTAATAGATTACGGCTCCAATTGTCCTCAACTTCTATCGAAATAAAAATTAAAAGGCTAATTAACAATTGATTATTATGGACCAGGATTTTTTTTTTAAAAAAATAATCAGATATACGTAAGTGCACACTTCAGATCAAGTCTTGAATTTAAGGACAAAAACGCTAATATAATCAAGTTAAAAACATGAGCCTATAATACATATTGAAAACCCTTGAGATTTAACTCCAACAATACTATATCGTACTATCTTTGTTTTCCTTCCTATAAATGATCTCAATCAAAAAAATAATAATAAATTAATTCATTTTTCACAGCCATTTGGATAAGTTCCAGTCAGAGAAGATGGCCAATTCAGACTTTTCGGTAAGAAATTAAACATTTTTTTAACTAATAAATGTCTTTTTTTTTCTTTTTTTTTGACATAAATTTATTTATGAGCGTTTAATACGAAGATTTATATTATAATTTAAATTATAATTCATAATTTATTATAATATTTTTAAAAAATATATATATACATAAATAAAAAATAATTTTAAATTAATAAATTAAACGCGCACAAGTTTGAGATTCACCCTGCACCTTTTACTAAATTTTCTTCAGAATCTAGGGCAATCATAAGGTACTACGCGACCAAGTACTGGGAGCGACGGCGGAGGAGAGAGCGGTGGTGGACCAATGGCTGGAAGTGGAAGCGCACAACTTCAACGAATTGGTCTACACCCTGGTGCTGCAGATTGTGATCATGCCGAGAATGGGGAAGAAGGGGGACTTGGCTTTGGTGCACAGCTGTGAGCAAAAGCTGGAGAAAGTCCTCGACGTGTACGAGCAGCGATTGGCCAAGAGCGGCGGCTACCTCGCCGGAGACGCCTTCACGCTGGCCGATCTTAGCCATCTGCCGGGGATAAGGTATTTGGTGAATGAAGCCAAAATGGGACACCTTATCACGGAGAGGAAGAACGTCATTGCTTGGTGGGAGGCAATCTCCAATCGTCCCGCTTGGAAGAAATTCATGAAGATTGCCCAATTAATTTTAGTGTTAAAATAATTATATGATCTATCGGAATTTTGTGTGCTTTTTTTTTCTTTTTTGAAAAGTTTATCTCTCTTGGTGGAAGATCAAGTTTGATTGTACTTGGTGTTAATTTATGATTAATTACGCGGTTCCACTGTGTGTTAAAATTACTATCATTGGTTTTCTCCCCAATCTCTTTAAAGCTGGAATCACCTCTCTTCAGTTTTGGTGATGGAAAAAAAAAATGTCACAACCGTACTAATATTCAATTAAAAGTTATATGTTAATACTTATATACACAGATGCACATACATATTCTTTAGCCAAAAAAAAAAAAAAAAAAGAAGAAGAAGAAGAAGAAAATATTTAGAAGAAAAGTTTAGCAAATAATGTTAAAGAACTCATTCTAAAAAACGAGCGTAAAGGGAGAAAGTGTCGAAACCACGTATAATCATCATAGCAGTCTAATAATTTAACGATGTGGGTTTAGCAAATAATGTTAAAGAACTCATTCTAAAAAACGAGCGTAAAGGGAGAAAGTGTCGAAACCACGTATAATCATCATAGCAGTCTAATAATTTAACGATGTGGGTTTAGCAAATAATGTTAAAGAACTCATTCTAAAAAACGAGCGCAAATGGAGAAAGTGTCAAAACCACGTATAATCATCCTAACAGTCTAATAATTTAACGATGTGAGACAAATTCACAATCCAACAAATTGCTCTAGCGGAGACGGTACAATATTCATCGCTATCGCTTGCCCTCTAGAAGTACTAGCTAGAGATTGTGGGTAATTAGCTTCCCATGAACTTATCCTAATAAAGAATATATGAACATCGCTTTAATCCCAATGCACTGTATATATGTTCACCATGATCAACTGAATATATAATCGTGTGCAAGCCATGATCAATTGCAAAAGCATAACTTGAACCTCTAAGTTTTTGTTTTTTTATTAGCATCAATCGTTAATTCGTAAAACACAAAGACCCTGTACTTAATTGGTTAATCTTTTAGGTTAAGTTAAGACTCTTAAAGTGTGTTGAGTTAATTTCACACGTAGAATCTCTCCAACACTATTATTGGCAGATAAAAAGAATGATGTTAAGTATTAAGTAGCAAGGGAATTGTATTTGTGCCAATGTAGCTACTTAGTTTAAAGGCCAGTTTGATAATATGAGTGTTTCATAAACTGTATTTTATTGTACTATGTTGATATTGTTGTCTTAGAAAAACTAGTTTAGAAATTGAGTTTCAAGCAATAGGCACCTGGAAAAGTCGAGAATAATACTAAGAAAGAGAGCTTGCAATAAGCGAGTCGAAAACGTGCACGTTTGTAGCCAGCCCATGACGACCTTTTTGTCATTTTCCTGTCTAAAAACGTCTTCTAAGTTCTACAGGACCTTTTTACTCACTACACTACACTGCATGCATACACATCAAAATCTATTTTCCCATTTTGCTCACATTCTCTGAAGCTTTTTCCAAATATTATTCATGCAAAAAAGATCATTTAACCAAACACGGATTGGGTTAAGGCAATTACCTCAACGTGGCAGAGTAATAACATGAAACCGTATAATATGCTAAATCTAAAACCAAAAAGGGTGAAAGGAGTATTCGTAGAGATGCCAAATACCATGGATCTTTTGCCAACCTATCAAAGAGCAAGAAAGCAAAGAAAAGAATGATACTACTACTTCCGTGAGAGACTAAAACTGGCTTTGTCTCTTAAACAAGAATCTATTGATATTTATTCTTTTACCTTTGTTTTAGTTGATTCTTAAACAAGAATCTATTGATATTTATTCTTTTACCTTTGTTTTAGTTGATTCTTAAACAAGAATCTATTGATATTTATTCTTTTACCTTTGTTTTAGTTGTTTTTTTTTTTTTTTTTTTTTTTGAGAATGTTCCTTCTCCTCTAATTGCACCTTCTTATGGGGCCCATGTTTTTTCCCAGAAAAACAAAATTAAGGATCAAGAATAGTGTAAATAAATAAATGGGCTTATTAATCATTTCTATATGTTTATACATGAAATATATACGATAATCTATGATAATCCACTTTATTTATTATTTTATTCATTATTTATTTTTATTATTAGTCTATTCTAAATTTTTATTGGTATATGTATATTGGAATTTTATAATTTTGAAAATTGAATATTTTAATATATTTTATTAATTTAATAAAGAAAGAGTTTCTTACAAATTACCGAAAAATTCGTTCTAATACGATCTAATAAAAGGGATTCTTAGTAAAACTGGGGTTCTTGACGAAACTAAAAGCTAACAAAGAAAGCTGCCAAAAAAAAAAATGATAAATGAGCTAGCCATGCATGCATGGTATACCTTATAATTAGCACTATAAATATTAACATTAAGACAGAGCAAACCAAAGTGCATTTCCATTTTAAGACCAACAGATTATTATTACATTTCTAGCCTTTTAGACCTGAATCATGGCTTCTTCAACACCAGCTGTTAAGGGGTCGGAGTTTATAGCCGAAAGCATGCCGGACGCGCTTAGGCAGAGCCGATACCACATGAAGAGGTGCTTCGCCAAGTACATCGAAAAGGGAAGAAGACTAATGAGACTTAACCACTTGATGGATGAGATGGTGAAAGTCATTGAGGACAAGGTTGAGAGAAACCATGTCTTGGAAGGTGTTCTTGGCTATATCTTGTGCTCTACTCAGGTTTTGACATTGTCATTTTCATCTTTTTTTTTTCCTAGTCTTTTTCAACGTGGAATAAGAGGATTTTAACTTATTGCCTTCATGCTAATTGTAGGTGTAGAATTACCGTTAAACTAAACCTGCTATTTTCTTTTCTTGCAATTTTGCAGGAAGCAGTTGTAGTCCCTCCCCATGTTGCCTTTGCCATAAGGCCAAACCCCGGTTTCTGGGAATTCGTTAAAGTCAACTCCGAAGATCTCGCAGTGGAGGGCATCAGCGCCACGGACTACTTGAAATTCAAAGAAATGATCTATGATGAGAAATGGTACGTGGCTTAAGAACCAATTCTAGCTAATTCTTTACATAATTTTTACCAAACATATTTCTTGGATCCAATGTTTGTATTTCTATTTAAAAAGCTAGAAAAACGAACTGTTAGAAATGATAACTGTGAAAATTCTTAGCCTTTAGCTCAAGGATATTTGTGTGAACATCATATTTGAACATCATATTTTTCATCACTACACGATGCAGGGCAAATGATGAAAATGCATTGGAGGTTGACTTTGAAGCAGTCAACTTCTCTGTTCCTCACTTGACGCTCTCTTCCTCGATCGGAAATGGCGTCAGTTTCGTTTCAAAGTTCATAACTTCGAAGCTAAGCGGGAGATTGGAGTGCGCGCAGCCGCTTGTGGATTACTTACTATCATTAAATCATCAAGGAGATGTAAGGGGGACAACAAGGGTTCAGTTCATAATAATTAATATCCACAAAGCCAAATTTTTGTTTTGATTTTGTTACGGTTCTAATAAAGCCATTAATTTTGTAATTGTAAATCTAAACTTGCAGAAACTTATGTTAAATGACACTCTAAACACTGCTTCCAAGCTTCAAATGGCACTTCTTGTAGCTGATGTTTACCTCGCAGCACTTCCACAGAATACTCCCTACCAAAACTTTGAGCTAAGGTGATACAAATATAATATTCTCCTATATATATACATTTATATATGTCCTATGAAGTCACGTTAATCATGTCATTTATACGAAAAATCATGTCTTTCTTCAGGTTTAAAGAGTGGGGTTTTGAGAAGGGATGGGGGGATACTGCAGAAAGAGTAAAAGAGACAATGAGATTCCTCTCAGAAGTACTTCAAGCACCGGACCCGTTACACATGGAGAATTTCTTTAGCCGGATTCCGACGATATTCAACGTCGTGATTTTCTCTCCTCATGGCTACTTTGGCCAAGCAGATGTTCTTGGATTGCCAGATACTGGTGGACAGGTAAATTAGAATTTTATAGGCCAGTAAAAATGTGCATAGCTGAAGTTTGCTATTCTAGCTAGATCAACTAAGATTTTGTTGTGATTCTACTAAAACAGGTGGTCTACATTTTGGATCAAGTGAGAGCTCTTGAAGAAGAACTGCTTCTGAGAATCAAGCAACAAGGGCTAAATGTCAAACCACAAATTCTGGTGGTAAGTTATGTTCGAATTGAGAATGTAAAAGCAATGATTTTCGAATTAATCACAATTTAATTACACCCTTTACTGAAACAGGTAACGCGTCTCATACCAGATGCAAAAGGAACCAAATGCAATCAGGAGTTGGAAGAGATCATAGGCGCCAAGTACTCTAACATCCTCAGGGTGCCATTCAAGACAGAGAAGGGGGTTCTCAACCAATGGGTTTCTCGTTTTGACATCTATCCTTATCTCGAGCGATATGCTCAGGCATGTTCCGTTATCAATCTTTTAATCCAATAGAGTTTCTTAATTCAGCACTAATCTACTTATACTGTGATAATTTATTCTGTTTTTTGATTGTTAACTGCATATTTTTCTTTTGAATCACTAGGATGCCACAGCCAAGATCCTTGACCACATGGACGGCAAGCCAGATCTTGTTATTGGAAACTACACTGATGGCAATCTGGTTGCTTCCATTATGGCTAAAAAACTTGGCATAACTCAGGTAACTTGTTATGTATCAGTTTGTGCACAGATATTATATATATTAGCATTATTCATATTAATTGCATATCTAATTTGATCTAAATATGGCCAGGGAACTATTGCACATGCTTTAGAGAAGACCAAATATGAAGATTCAGACCTCAAGTGGAAGGAATTAGATCCCAAGTACCATTTTTCATGCCAATTCCTAGCTGATACCATTTCCATGAATGCAACAGATTTCATTATAGCAAGCACATTCCAGGAGATTGCAGGAAGGTTAGAAACCATGAAACTTACTGAATTCTCCATAAAGACTTCGTTTTTGTGATTCATAAATAAGATTGAAACTTTCTAACTAGTTACTTACAAATAATAGTAATGTTTTGGATTATTTGCAGCAAGGATAGACCAGGACAATATGAAAGCCATGCTGCATTTACTCTCCCGGGGCTATGCAGAGTTGTCTCGGGCATCAACGTCTTCGATCCCAAGTTCAACATTGCTGCACCTGGCGCCGATCAATCGGTCTATTTCCCTTACTCGGAGAAACAAAAGCGATTCACATCGTTTCATTCTGCTATTGAAGAGTTGCTTTATAATAGAGAGGATAACAATGAACACATGTAAGTGATCTTAAAATTTCAAGTCCTTTTTTTCTCCATTGAAACTTCAAAATAAGGATCATTAATCTGTCTAAAGAGTTCTAATTATCTGAATTTTCTTGTGAGACAGTGGATATCTAGCTGATAGGAAGAAGCCTATAATCTTCTCAATGGCAAGACTTGACACCGTCAAGAACATTACGGGATTAACCGAGTGGTATGGGAAAAACCAAAAGCTGAGAGATCTGGTTAACCTTGTCATTGTGGGAGGATTCTTTGACCCTTCAAAATCAAAAGACAGAGAGGAAATGGCAGAGATAAAGAAGATGCATTCACTGATTGAGAAGTACCAACTCAAAGGTAAGATCAGGTGGATAGCGGCGCAAACTGATAGGCTGCGCAACGGAGAACTCTACCGGTACATTGCCGACTCAAAGGGTGCTTTTGTGCAGCCTGCCCTGTATGAGGCATTTGGTCTTACAGTCATAGAGGCAATGAACTGCGGATTGCCCACTTTCGCAACCAACCAAGGAGGGCCAGCAGAGATCATTGTCGACGGAGTTTCAGGTTTCCACATCGACCCCAACAATGGGGATGAGGCAAGCAACAAAATCGCTGAGTTCTTCGAGACATGCAAGAGGGACGCAACGTACTGGAACGAGTTCTCCGCAGCTGGTTTACAGCGCATAAACGAATGGTAAGCTAATACGAACCGATAATTAGTACTCGAATTCATCAGTCAAAATTAATCAAATTAGTTTCTCCAAAGAATTGTTTCCACATTTTTGTCTCATCCATATATCTATGTAGCTATACCTGGAAGATATATGCAACAAAGGTGGCGAACATGGGATGCGTTTACAATTTCTGGAGGCAGTTGAACAAGGATCAGAAACAGGCAAAGCAAAGATACCTCCAAATGTTTTACAGTCTCTTATTCAGGAAACTGGTAAATTATCATACCTTGTTGCTCTTTATTCCATTTAATAAGTTCAAAAATCTAGAATTTTATTTACTTTATGCACAATTTTCAGGTGAAAAACGTGCCAATTCCAAATGAGGAGCCTGAACAGCCTGCGCCAAAGCCGGCTGCCAAACCGCCGCCAACACCAGCACCAAGGCATGTTACTACACAGTAAAACATTGGAGCGAGAGCAATTCACTAGTAAATTGGTGGTATATTTATAAGTTGAGATATAAATAAAAGTAGCAATAAATAAAAATGTGGGAAATATACACACACATATATATGTACTGAAAAAAAATTGGCAAGTCCACTCATCTAGCTAGCAATATTATAGGCATGTAATCCAATATTCATGGGAATAAAAGAGGGACAATATTGCAGAAGCATGCATTAATAATGCATGCAATCCATGCGAAACCAAAATTATTAATGAAGAATCTCTATCAATGATCTTCATATTTTTGTCCTTTTCTTTTTCTGGTTTTGCATATACATGCGCATATACGTACAGCAGTACTTTTCAAGCACAAAGTAAACTAAATTGAAGTCTTAAGACAAACATGCAGTACTTAACCTGGTTCTTTTTTTTTTTTTTTTTTTTTTTTTTTTTTTTTTGTCTTTGCTATAACGTATATATTTCAAGTCAAGCTAACCGTACATTTTGATTTTTGTAGCACGAAACGTTCACAGTCACGATTGCAAAGGTAAAAATCAAAAACTGAAAATTAATACCCCATTTGGATTTTTTGTTTTTGGAATTTTAAACTTAAGGAGTTTTGACAAATCTATGAATATTTTTATGCCATAACTCTCAGGTTGTTTCGAGGTTAATGAACCAACGTACCTGCAAGCTTAGCTTGGTCCATGTTAAATGCATGTTTTTTCATGTGTTTTCGGAGCTTAATTTCTTATTCTTAATTACGAGACTATACAAATAAAGTGGACTTTGAAGAATTATTTGTTTTTAGAGATCTTGGGCTTTCTTTGTAATAAGGGATTCACTGACTTGAGAGTAATGTGTGGGATTTTCAATAATCATAAAGCAATTATATATTATCATTGTTGTGTAATCATACCTGAGTTTACGTTAAAATCTCCTTTAAGTATTATTATTTTTGCATTTTTAGTTTTACTATCTCTATCTCCATCATCAAAAAGTTCCTTGTGCTTCAACTTATGTTGATTATGCCATCATGTTGTTGGCAATAAAAACAAAAGTATTAAAGACGATATATATATATATATATATTTTTTTTTTTTTTATGGCCAAACTGCCATTGCCATTTGAAGCCAAACAAACGACTTCCAAAGTCCAAAGTCCAAAGTCCAAAGCATCATATCAAACTATAACCAGGAACTATACTTCATTTTTTTAACGTTCTGTTCATCTTAAGTTAATACAAAAGGAGTAAAAAAAAAACAAATTTGAGCCAGCCTGACGCTTGTGAGAATATGGTCGGTCCAACCCGGCATGATATCCGCATGAAGTTGGACCAATATGTATATTTATTTATAAAATTAAAAGAAGTAAATATCATATTTTTAAATTATTTGAAGTAACTAACAGTTTTTTACTATGTAAATGATTTATTTACAACTAATAAAAAGATTTTTTTCTCATAAATTTTATTTTTACCATTAGTAAAAATATATTTTCTCACGTAAATAAAGATTTTACCACGTAAGTTAATTTTACCAGTCGTAAATGAATCATTTACATAGTAAACTTTTATTTAGTTTTAAAATATGTTATTTACTTAATTTAGTTTTAAAAATTTACTATTTATTATAATTTCCTAAAAATTAGAAATACCACTCAAGATGGTAAAAAAATATTATTTATGTCATTCCACTAAAAAATAAACAACTACTATTTAATTAATAAAGCAAAAATAAAAGGTCTTAATGACATACAATTATTTAAAATGACATAAATATAAGTATGCACAAAATTATGACAAACTATGGCCGTGTTTAGCATTGATATTATTTTTGTTTTTCACGTTTTTCGAGGAAAAAAATGAAAACGTGTTCAAAACGGCGTTTGGCGCAATAAAGATAAAAAATAAAAATGAAAACGATTTTTTGGTTTAGTGTAAAATGACAGAGAAATGAAAAATGACTTTTAGTCGTTTTTCATTTTTTGTTTTCATTTTCTCCTCTCGAGAGCAGAGAAAGAGTGAGAGACATTAATAGGTTTTTTTATACTGAAAATAATCTATTGATAAAACTACCAAATGCATTTTCAAAAATGATTTCTGTCTGAAATTGAAAACGTTTTCATTTTCATTTTCATACAAAAAAACAAAATCATTTTGGAACGGATTCCAAACGCACGCCCTACGTATTTTTCTAAATATTAAAAATGATAATCGTGTTGAATGAATGCATTTTGGGGCAAAACATTATGTTGATTGAGATGTTTAACTGGGCAGGGATTGAGCCTAAAAGTAGGATGATAGCTCATTTTCCCGATCCAAAGTTACAATTCTAAGGCTTCGTTCGTTTTATTAGTTCGAACTATAACTCAAATTTTTATTACAGTATTTTTTCTTAAAAAAAATTAAATTTAATTAAGTTCTTTACGCGTACGAAGCCTAAATATTCCCTCACAACAATTCTTTTTTACCTTATCTCGTTTTTTTAGAATTTTTTTAATAATCCGTCCTATAGATAATCTTAATTTTTAAATATTAAATTTAATTAAAATCATATTAAATTAAAAAAGATACAGAATAAATATAAAGAAAAATAAGAGATGACTACAAGATAATTTTGTATGGGAGTTTTTCTTTTGCAATTTTAAGTTAGGGTGATTTGAGTGATGATCTTAAGTTGAGTTTGAGTTATAACTTGAGTTGAAGTTATAACTTGAGTTTGTGTTTGGATGTGCATATTTGAGTTATAATTTAAATTGAGAATTTTTTTAATTGGTGTTTGGTTGAGTCAAAACTTTTGTATTTAAATAATATTTTAATAAAAACTCAATGGTGATAAAAAATTTTAATAGGGTATATGGGTGAGGTTTTATTCATCTTTTTATTGTGAATGCATAGAAAAAAAAAATTATCTCAATCGGAATTAAAATTAAAAAGTTATGATATTTTTAATAATAAAAAAATATTGTTCATTAACTTAAGTTTGAGTTTATAAACTCAAGTTGAAAGAAAAATTTAAACTCCAATTTAACTCTAAATTCGAATTCAAACTCAAAATTAAACTTAAATTTTATAAAAAAAATATAAACTTAAATAAAATTATAATTTAAAATTTGACAATAACAACCCATAATTTTCGCGGAATTTATTAACTTGCACGACGGGGGAGTTGGCCTATAACATACGACTGAGTGAGATGAGACAGCTTTTTTTTTTTTTTTTTTTTTTGGGTAAAAAGGACGAGACCGGCTGTTACGCTCCTACCAAACTACTTTCCGCAACCCGTTAAGCCAATATTATCATGATGGTGTGACGACGCCAATATAATTCCATATCACAACTGAAAAAAGGACAAAAAGAAAAAAATAAGAAAATCAAAAACCCCACGAATTTTTTTTTTCTTACCCACATATATATGATAACAAAATATTTAGATTGAGTATCAGAAAGAAAGAAAACAAGGAAGAAGATGATGAATCCTAATGGCGCGTCGAGCTCTGACGGAGATGGAGCCTCTCATTCATCTTCCGCTCTCAAAAAGAATTCCAAGAAACCCAAATGTACCTCTTTTTCCTTTTCCTTTTCTTTTTCTTCCTTTTTCTCATTCTCAGTTCATTTACCTTGACATTCAATGGATTTTGGGTTCGGACGAATTCAAAGTCCCATTCTTTCTGATTCATGTTTTGGCTACTTTGATTATTTCATGCTTTTCTTTATTTATATGTTTATTTATATTCATTGCAGATTCTAGATTCTCGCAGCAAGAGCTTCCCGCCTGCAAACCAATTCTAACGCCTGGATTGGTAAGAAGAATTTTTTTTTTTTTTTTAAAATTCAGATTCTGTTTCTTGTACCATTTTTTTTTTTGGCCTATGTCATAATTTGTTGAAATCTTTTTTGGGTTTTGTTTTATTTTTATCTTTTATTAGGTAATTTCGACGTTCGTAGTCGTTAGCTTTCTCTTCATCCCCATTGGCCTCGTTTCCTTGTTTGCTTCTGAACGTGTATGTATCCATTGCTCATTTTATTTATTTATTTATTTATTTTGTTTGGGGAAAATGGGTTATTCCTGATTTTAAACTTAAACCATGCTCATTAATTACTGGGACGTGAAGGTTGTGGAGATAAAGGAACGATATGATGAAGATTGCATTCCTTCTAATTATACCAAAAACGTGGTTGGATATATCCAAAGCAATGAAACCAACAAGACTTGTGTTAAGAAATTTACTGTGAGTACAAATTCTTCACTGCCTTTTTTGTGTTTAAGAGAGTTTAAGCAGATAACTTCTGATAACATGTGCTTTTTTCTAATTGACTATGAATATTATTTTTCAGGTCCCAAAGAAAATGAAGAGTCCTGTTTTTATCTATTATCAGCTTGATAACTTCTATCAGAATCATCGACGGTATTTGCGATTCTCTTTTTCTTTTGCCTTCAGCTTTTCTGGTTGCCTAAAGATTTTCTTATAATTATAAAAGAGCTTGATTTCTTTTTGTTCCTTACTTCCAGTTTAGATGTTAGTATATGACAATTCAAAATTATCCTTAGCTTAGGCTGGGACACCATGATTTTTAGAACACTATGGGCTTGTTCTTTTGGAGTTTAACTTGAGTATAATTCTTAAGTTGAATTTGAGTTATAACTTGAGTTGAACTTGTAACTTGAGTTTGTGTTTGGTTGTGTACATTTGAGTTATGGTTTGAGATAAGAATCTTTTTGAGTTTGTGTTTGAGTGAGTCAAAACTTGAATTTGTATTTAGATAGTATTTTAATAAAAACTCAATGCTGATCAAAAATTTTAATATGGTATATGGGTCGGGTTTTATTCGTCTTTTCGTTGTCAACGCATAGAAAAAAAAATCATCTCAATCAGAATTAAAACGAAAAAGTTATAGCATTTTTAAGAATAGAAAAAATACTGTTCATTAATTTGAGTTCGAGTTGAAGGGGAAACTTGAACTCGAGTTTGAACTCGAGTTTAAACTTAAAAGAACATGAACTCAAATAAAGTTGTAACTCGAGTTGCATTTTTTTGAGTTTTTCACTCAAAAGAACAAGGGCTATGTAGACTGATAAATTTGTGAGGGCTTGAAAATTTTCCATGTTAAAGGATCACTTGTTAGTTGAACTTAAAATCTCATGTGGGACAGTCTGATCTCTAATGTTAATTCATGTTTATGCAGCTGCGCCAATTTTAATGGTAGCCAAACGGTTTAAATTACAAGGTTTATGGTTTAGAAAGCTTGTAGGAATTCGAGTTGCTATTGTAAAGGAAGTTATATCAGGTTTTGTTTAAGAAAAGGCCAGGAAAATGTCTTTAGGGCTTCTTGGGGTGTTGATTGATGAGGACTTCGGAGAAAGTTGATTCCTACAGAAACTTTGGACAACTTAGAAGAGGTTCCAAGCGTTCTGTTTTCAGTTCTTTATGATTTATAGGCACAAGTTGTGTTCATTTTGTTGAGATTCGTGTTCTACTATTTAAGGCCTAAATCCTCTCACAAATCATGCAACTTGGTAGAACTGGCTGCCTTCCATATTTTAGAAAAGTTTTATAACCTTATGGGATTAAAATTTTGCACAAACAATCTATGAGGTGTTTATAGAGCATTCCCCTTATTGGCTAATTTGGAGTGTTGAGTGGAAAGATATGTTTGGATTTTTGCAAGGGATATAGAACTCTATCGCGGTGATTTGACTGTCATTTCCGAGAATGGTGTATGTGCACATGATAATCAAATGTTCATTTTTGTGTTTCATTCTGATTTTTTATTCTTGTTTTTCTCTGCGTTTGTAGATTTGTTTCTTTAATTTCCTACCCATTTGTGGCTTTAAGCTTTTTTTTTTTCTTCTATGGTTAAGTCTCGTAAAAGTTCATTTCGTTGACATTGATATAGAAGTACTTCATTTTCTGACATCGATCATGCGAACTACATAGAACAATGTTGAGGGCTGGCTTTGAAAATTGGATGCGTACAGAAATAAAGAATTTTTTGTTTAAGATGAAAACTCGTTATTAATTTTTGTGTCAAGATTAGTTTTTAGATTGATGAAGTACTTATAACCAAACAAAAGGCCTCAAAGAAACCATCAAAATAGTGTAAGCTTTGTTAGGTTTGTAATAGAAATAAGTTGAAGCACTTATCGTCCTTGTTAGCAGTGCTACTGATATTGAGAAATCATGAGAACTTAGATGCTGCTGCTGTCTTGCATGAAAACAGAGGAGAACTGAAAATCAGAAATTTAAATTGAAATAAATGTAGAAATATATTATCCTGATTTCTTTTCTACATCATTTTTCTTCATTTACTATTTGAGTCAAAATTACAGTTCTAGGTAAAAACTTAATCTGTTATTTTACCCTGATGTTTTTCATATATATGGTTTTCTTTAGTAGATTTGAACTCTTAAATCCTATTCCCTTTCAACCTGAAAAGCTTTCTGGTTGATCTGATATATGTGTTTGCCTGTTCAAAATCGGATTGTACACTAGAATCTTAAACTTTTACGTTTTACACAATGTATAAAGTCATCTTTCTCTGCTTTATTGTTGGAATTTTCCGAAACGTACTGACACTCTTCCTGATCTCAAATGGGATTTTTTCTTCTAGATATGTTAAAAGTCGAAGTGACAAACAACTGCAGAGCAAAGCATTTGAAGACGAAACAGAGACCTGTAAACCTGAAGATAGTGCCGATAAATCTCCCATTGTTCCTTGTGGCCTCATTGCCTGGAGTTTGTTTAATGACACATACAGGTTTTCAGTGAAAAATGCGGCACTAAATGTCAGCAAAAGGGACATTGCATGGAAGAGTGACCGACAACACAAGTTCGGCTCTGATGTCTACCCCAAAAACTTTCAGAGTACTGGTCTAATTGGGGGTGCAAAGCTCACCACAAGCATACCGGTATAAATAACTAAATCCATGGCTACTTTCTATCTTCTTGAGCAATTTATTACTTTTATCTAAAGGAAAATTTGTTTGGTAGGTCTGAAAAATTACTTGTTATTCTTGACCTCAGATTACATTAAAAGTATATCAAAGATGTAAATTTAATGAGACTTTATGAAGATATAACGTTCAAGAACTATACTCTACCAATGGGGTATTCTTTTTTTTTTTTTTATGCTACCACAAATTTCACCTTATCTAATTTTCGAATAAATAGTTACGGGTTCTTCATGCAACAGTTGAGTCAGCAAGAGGATCTAATTGTGTGGATGAGAACAGCAGCACTGCCAACTTTCAGGAAGCTATATGGGAAGATAGAAGTGGACCTTGAAGCTGATGATGAAGTAACTGTAGTAATAGAGAACAACTATAACACATACAGTTTTGGTGGAAGAAAAAGGCTGGTACTTTCAACCACTACTTGGATTGGTGGGAAGAATGATTTTCTAGGCATAGCATACATTTCTATTGGTGGAATTTGCCTGTTCTTCGCTATATCATTCATCCTTTTGTACGTCATCAAGCCTAGGTGAGTATACTACACAAAAACTTGTATGTTTATAAGAAATGTAATGTCTCTACTAGAAAAGATCTTTCCCTATGAAAAATTTGTTCTCTAGATCTTAACATTCGTAGAGATATTTCTCCCAATGAAACTTTTTTTGGTCGGCACTCGACAGGTCCAGGGAAAAGCTCATCACAAAACGTATTTTGCAACAAAAATGTATTTCTATCACTAAAAATCTTACTTTTTCCAACAAAATATTTCATCAGTAGACGCCTGCTGTCTTCCCGATCTTAGAGAGGAAAGTGTGGAAAGTGTCCTAAATGTTGCATGAAATCTTGAGGATCACATGTTTGAAAAAATGTAGAGACACTGTCCGTATTCCTTGATAGTTCCGTAAACAAGATATGCAAATTAAGTGCATCCATTTCTTATTTGGTTCAAATTGTTTATAAATGAGATGTACTTTCTAAGAATTGCTTGCCTTTTCTATGCAGGCCTCTTGGAGATCCATCCTACTTGTCTTGGAACAAAAATACAGCAGCAAATATGAAGTAGGATTTTTTCAGTATTTATCCTACTTCAAGTCTTGAAAGACCTTTTGAAATAGACTGATCAGATTGAACCCTTGTCTATATCTGAAAGCGAAATATTACTATAGGTACATTTTTTTAATCAAATTTTGTTTACCAATTTATATGATAATCTTATATTCACATCTTATACTGGGATGTCAGTTGTTTACCAACTTTGGTAGTATATGTACAAAGAATTGCAATTCTGAGTTCCTTCCCTTTGTTCAGGAACCTCTGCTGTTGATAGATAGATTAGAAAAGATGGAATGTGGATATGATAAAGAGAATTATAGTAATCTTTCAAGTTATATGTCTAAAATTAGGGAAGTTTGTTAATGATTCTTTTGGAGGCTAAAATAGTCTTTTTAGCTTTCATTAGTGGAGGGACTAAAATGACATGGGAACCAACCACATAAGGGATTGCTCGAGAAATGCTAGTGTTACCTGTCACTCTCTTTGTCACTTTCTACATTCGCTGTCATTTAAACAGAAAATGAGATAGTAGAATCCACGTGTCAAACAGTGAATGCAGAAAATGACAAAAAGAGTAACAGAAAGAGTGACGCTAGCATTTCTCAGGAATTACTCTTGTCCCTCCATCTCTTATAATGTCTTAGCCAAATTAACGCTTGTAAAAGAAAGATTTGATCTTTAATCATAATATATTGTTTTGGTTTGGTCTTGCCTTTTGCTTTAAGAGAATAACATTGTATTAGTTTATTGCACAGGCACAATTTACTGATTTACTCATTCTTCACCGTACAACCAAACTCATTGACCTTTACCAATACACAAAATTCCTAATACGCTTGTTATTATTGCAGCTTCCAGTATTCATAAATAGTCCAAAACCATATTTAGAGCTTCAGATATGGAAGGAGCTTATAAAGTCTGAAAAACAAAGAAAACTGTTAAGAGTAATAGATTTAGGCTTAGTTTGGTAATGCTGTGGATTTTTAAAAAAGTGTTTTTAGCTGTGCTGAAAGAAAAATCAGCTGTTTTAAGAAGCAGCTGAGTGTTTGGTAAATTGTAATTATAGTAGCTGTGCTGGTTCCAAAATCAGTATAATAGCGTTTGGTAAATTTTGAGATGGAATTGCTGTGGGTATGTAAAATGACCAAAATAGACATGATATGAAATTTAAATATATATAGGCCCCGTTCACTTCGCTGATTCGAGTTTAGAATTTGAGTTTTTCTACAGTAAAAAGCTCTCACAAACAATCACATCTAACTTTTTTGCTACAGTAAAAAGCTCTCACATAAAATCACATCTCAACTCAAATTTTAAACTCGAATCAACGAAGTGAACGAGGCCCAAGTGACTTCCAACTATAGCCAATTCTACATTCTCATGGTAATCCCGTCTTTTTCATGTCATAACCAAAAACTTCAACTTCCACAAAACTTACGGAACTCTTTAAAGATCCCGACAACATATACGTATAAATGCACAAAAAAAAAATCGCAGAATTACGTGAAAAAAATCAAAAACCTATAAGAACATGTCTTTCAAACACATCAAATTCAACAATATTTTTCATAGAACTCATAAAAATAATAAATTGAAAAAAAAAAAAAAAAAGAATACTGAAGACGAGGTTTACCTGGCTCGGCGTCACTTTCAAGACAAATGCGGCAACAAGGAACCGAACCAGACTCAACGTCTTCAACCGTAATCTCGGTCGAGCTTCCTGGTGAAGAATCGGCCTTGTTCTGCAACAAAGGGTCCGAGTCACCTGGGTCTTGCGAACTCACTGACTCTAGCTGAACTTCCCCTTTCATTGATCCCAAATCTAACACGAAACTCAAGTGATTAAGATCAAATCCTTCTAAACCCTAGATTGTTGCATCTTAACTACGATCGAGTATCGAAATTAATCAACACAAAAATCTTGGCAAAAAAACCGAGAGTAAAAATGGAACAAAAAGAAAATCTCAGATAATCTGGTTGTTTCTAGACGATCAAATTGACTTCTTCGAATTCATTACAAAATGATTATGCCAAGTAAAATTAAGTACCTGGATTGTCGCAGGAAAATTCTGAGAGAAAAAAGTTGTGAGTTTTTGGGTTTTGAGAAACTGAGAATTGCGGAGAGGAGAGGAGAAGAGATTTTTTTTTTTTTTTAAATGAGAGAAAAAAATGCTCTTATCTATTAGGCACGGCACGCACGATGATGAGTCCATCGTTACTCCGATTGCATGTCCATGGTGGGGCCTTGGATACTTTCTTTTTTTTTTTTTTTTTTTGGCTTGTGAGTTTTGGGACATGCAATATTTTAGTTTATAAATTTAAAATCATAATTTATAATTTTAATTTTTAAAATTTAAATTACTTTAAAAAAAATATTATAGAGAATTAAAAATTATAATTTAAAATTAGAGATAAACTTTTAAAATAAATATCTCATAAAACTTTTCAGAGGAAATAACATATTTTTAGAAAATAATTGACAGCAGATTTTAAAACTCTTTTAAATAAATAGAGTTTATAACGTAAATATTTTATCAAGAATCAGAAAATAAAATTTTGCATGTAAATTTTCTTTTTATGACTAGTAAAAAAAATAACGTAAATTATTTTTTACCAATCATATATATTCCTCAATCTTTTCATATATTTGAAATCTTTGATAACTTAGGTAGTCTAGCATATTCACATTGCCACTACATGAGAGAATTCTCATATAATAACCTTGATAGATGTGCTTGGAAGAAATTCAAAGATTACTAGATGAAAGAAGTGAAAAATTAAACAACTGAGATATCTACTAGTCACTCATATGAATCCGAAATAGAAAATGAAGTACACAATAGATCAGATCTTGAATTCCATTTAAAGATATTTCAATATAGGAACAAGTTCCTTCATTTAGAACATTGACATCCTAAAACAGTTTAATTGAAGTGAATTGGGTGGTTAACTAATAGATTGAACAATATAAAAACACTCGTTCTATGAAGAAGAGAGGATTCTAATACCGCTCTACACCATAGTTCTCTACAGTGATGAAAGCCAATTATATTGAACTTTCAGCTTGTTTCGTGTGAATTTGTTGGTAAAAGACTTGTTTAGTTTCAATTTTGACTTATAGAGTAAGGTAATCATCTTCTGGAGTATTGTTTTCAAACTGTGACACTCGATTAATTTGCATCTACTGGGCAAGTGTGAATATTTTCCCAAGCTAAAACCCAAAACAAAAAAAAAATAACACTCAATTCATCTTATGTGTGTTTTGTACACACAAATCCATGAAACATCCACAATAATTAATTCGAAACTGAAACACACCAAGAGTGAAAGCTCAAAACTCTACACAAGATTTGCATGCCATGCAAGAACTTCAAATTAGAGTTCCGAGCTTAATTACCATTTTTTCTGTAAGGGCTCACGCAGTCACCTCGGCAAAAACACTTAAACGAACTTGCTCACTCCTGCACAATCAGAATTGCATTCTTCAAAACTCCAATATCGAACAGAAACTCGCAGACCTATTCCAGCTTCTACAACACAGTACTGCCCCTAAAATCCATTGACAGAAACCATGCAAATCCGAACTCTCGAAGCGTCGCTCAATTAATCTGCAAAAGAACAAAACCAAGAGAGAGAAAACCCCTAGAAATCAAGCTTCGATCACGATCAGAAACATAGTGAATGATCTACAGAGAGAAAAAGCATGCGAGAGCAAAAACATCACGATGAATTTTTGAAACCTATACAGATACAAGCATAAAAGCAGATTGATAAAGCCTCCAAATTGAGAAGAATGAGAGAGTGCTCGAGAAGAGTACCTCACCAGAGCGATCCCGACGATATTTCCCGGAGAAGACAACTTTCTCTCTCTTCTCTTTTTTCTTTCTTTTTTTTGGTACAGAGAAAGAGAAAGCGAAAGAGGGAGACTGGCCAACGGAGAACGGAGAGCAGAGACCGGAGAGAGGAGCGAGACAAGAGGGAGAGAACAGAGAGCAGAGCGAAAGAGGAGAGAGAACAGAGTGATGAGGAATATGGGTATATGGAGATTTTTTTATTTCAACGAGGGTAAAATGGGGAGTAGAAAATTTTCATTAATGAGAAGAGAGGAGATTCCCGCACAAGTTAAAATCAGAAGCACCTAAAAGGCTGCTTCTGATTTTAAGGTGAAATGAGCTTCAGATTTTTGAATAAGCTACGGTTTTGCTTCTTACCAAACAGTCCAAATGACTTTAGCTAGGTGAAGAAGCGCTTTTAGGTTCTCAAAATCAATACCAAACTGAGCCTTAGTATATTCTCCTTTTAGAAGTAATAATCTGTTAAATGGCTTAAAATGAGTCCTTGATAGAAGAAAACAAAACCAAAGTAATCTCTATATATAATGACAATCGGGCCCGTTTAGTTCGCTGATTCGAGTTTTTAATTCGAATTGAGATGTGATTTTATGTGAGAGCTTTTTACTGTAACAAAAAAATTAGATGTGATTGTTTGTGAGAGTTTTTTACTGTAGCCAAACTCGAATTCTAAACTCGAATCAGCGAAATAAACGGGGCCGAAGTACATGGCATAATGTTTAGTTCATTGAGATTCAATTAAAAGATTGTCAATCCATATATAATCCTTCCTCTCCAACACTTATTAATCGTGTTGATGTCAATAAAATTAGATATAATGTCAGGTTTGCCCCTAACTACGCTAGAATTATTTCTAATCTTATTTGAATGCAACAACATTCATGTCCAATTTTGTAATTTCGAAGAATACAAGATTGAACAATGTATTTGACTTGAATCCAGAGGAGGGTTTTAAAATTCTTTCAACATAAAAATGAGCAAAAAAAAAAAAAAAAAAAAAAATTCATGGAAACTTATTTAATTGGTGGTTAACTACCGTAGTAAAGGTTTTTTAGTGACTAGAAAAACTCGTACTTACTATTCAATACCAACGCACTTGACCTATAGCTTGTCTCTCAATCATACACACCCATTAGATTGAGCGTTTTAGACATGTAGCAAAATCTCATTGAAGTTAAACATAGCAAAATTTTCCAAATATTGTAAAAAATAGCAAAAAGTAATATTATTAGAATAATTCTAAGGAGTTAAATTTGAAGTAGAATAATTGTAAATATACGTACATATAATATATATATATATAGGAAATGTCTGTCTAGTTAACCTAGACAAGAGGAGAAAATGTTATTATACTTTATATATATATATATATATAGGAAATGTTTTCCGTCCGACAGGTATTATTTACCTGATTAATCCGGCGGAATCCAGCAAATAGTAGAGGCACTATTTGCTAGATTGAAACGGCAGTTTTATAATTCAGCATAAATCGTGTATATTTACATGTAAAGATGTACAATTAAGTATAAGTCTTGTATATTTACATGTTGTACAATTCATCATATGCCTTGTACAATTTAGCATATAGAAGTTGTACAATTGTAAAGATGTATAAGTTGTATGACAAGTTATACAATTCATCATATATCTTGTATATTTACATACGGTAGTTGTACAATTCAGCATAAATCTTGTATAATGTCTTCCGCCGGATCAGGCAAATAATGTCTGCCGGACGGAAGACATTTCTTATATATATATATATATATGTGTGTGTGTGTGTGTGTTGATCAATTGTGATGCTTATAGTAGTCATGGATGTGTTCTTTTGTGCATTTTCTATACTGAGCATTAAAACACTGCAATACAATAATTTATTATTTATATGCCTTTCGCAACCATCTTTAGCCTTCTCACGGCATTTTATGACTATCTATTGAGGAATATTTTCATAATTATCAACATTGGAGTTGGAGGAGGGAATAAGAAAATTAGGAGCTAGAAATGGAGAGGGAGAGGAAGGAGAATTCGCATGGGCCCCACAAATACATAGGACTAGGATTTCAAGCATACACCTCGAGATTAACAACATCATCACAATACTTGCTCTTAAATTGTTAACATTCGTTTCTCCCTTTTTCTATCTTTTTGTATGTTCAGCAAAAACTCTTAAAAAGTTTCCTTAAAGAAATTTCTCTTAAAAGCAATCCGCACGCATGGATTTTTGTATTGTTTATTTATTATTTGTTATATTATTATTATTACAAATATAGTTGTTCTGAGTCGATGTTGTTTTATTATTCAACCGACATTTAATTATTTAACTAAAGGTGTCTTTTGTATCGAAATTCTGCTCCTGAAAAAAGAAAACGGAAGAAAAAAAAAAGGCCAGATCTTACTCGGTTTCTTTTGAAAGAGCTTCCATAAAATTAACAAGAAATTAATATTTTTATTTATATTTTACCTTTTATTGATCAATAGTAAAAATTAAAAAAAAAAACGCAAATCTCATTAACTATGTTTTGAAAAAAAAAATCTTTTTTAAATCCCGACTTATAAATTTTATGTAAAAATACAATAAAAATATTATATCAAACCTGTCTTTATAATTTGTGTGCCTTTTGGAGTAGAGTTTTGGAGTATATAGAGTATTTTAGATATTTAGTGACTTTTAATGAGTATGGATAATTAGTTTCTTTGGAGTGAAGCTTGTGACACACATATTCAGAATATTTGAATATAAAACGACAGATTCACTTATTACATGAAAACGACACAAAACAACAAGAAGGAAATAAGCGCCAGGATACCTGAAGGAATAGGATGAAACAGCAAGGTTAGCTAGCTAGCAGCCTAACACTAGAGTGCAAGTTTGAGTCAGACCAAATGAGTTGGTCCGAGACCTGCCACTATTAACCCAAATGAAGAGGGGCGAATCAAGATTTTGAACTCAAAAGTTTATTTGAATCGGTCAAACTCGGCCTAAACGCCCTCTTTTTAAAGATTTTTTTAAAAATACCTTATAAAATTCATGACTGAGCTGAACTAGGTCGTCTTCTCCCATTTAAGACTGGGCTGGGCCGGCCTGAACTTTCATTTTTAGGTAGCACGTAAGCAAAAAAACTAAAGAAAAAATAGATAACTTATCTTTGAAAGTGCATAAGTCTGAATTTTTACTCCTTACTCTCGATAAATACCCTTTTATTAGTATAATTATTTGACTAAAAAAGTTATGAATTAATAATAAAAAGTAAAAGTCATGACCCATACACTTTAAAGGATATTTGTCAAGATTACTTGAGACTAAATGATAAGTTTATCTTTCTATTTATCTTTTCTTTTTTTTTCAATTTTTCAAGACATTTTTCAAAACAAAGAAAGCATATTGTTTAATGATCCTTAGTAATGTGATCTCGAGACATATTGGCAGTACCGAAATCCACTTATTAGAGTAATAACAATCACTAATTTAGCTTGATCATTGGGCTTAGAGTTCTCAGCTTGCTAAAGTTGCTTGAATGATATTGTTTTTTAATGAACAAAAATCGAGTCTTTATTTCAAAAGAATATATTATTACTTGAAAATTTTAACCCTAAAGTTTAAGAAATTAGAAACGAGATTAATATCATGTTTTATTCTACCATACACAAGGTACTGTAGTTGGCTCCATAGCTGTGGATACGTCTCTATCGCACATGTCAGAACCAACGGTTACAATTGCTTCACCCTGCAATGTTGTGATTAATTCATGAAATGCCAAACGTTAGAAATATTAAAATATAGACAATTTGTATAGAAACGTTTTCTTATAGACTCATATATATATATATATATATATATATATATATATCCTTAGGCATAAAGAGGTCATGCATAGATAGACCTACCTTTGCAATATTTCTAAGATATGTGGTGGTGTAATTTCCTGTAGGAAATAAAGCTTCAATAAGATCCGCTAAAACAAGTTGTGGTTGTGAAACTGCTCCATTGAACCAATCTGATGACAGGACGAAAAAAAGAAAATTCATATATATGTCAAAAAATTATATGGCTACACATCAAAACATATTAGAAACAATATGGAACACAATTCATGCATTCTACACACCATCTCTTGATAAAAACTATAAAAAAATTATTATTATTAAGTCTCACACTGTTATGTGACAGTTTTAATACACTAACACATATGTGATGATATCATCGCTATGTGTAATGAGTAACATTTTTCATGAACATTGAATTGTCGAGTATATTCAAATAATCAATTATCATGTTATGAAGCAGATAAAGCTTACGAAAATAAAAAGTATCATGATGATATATATCACTAATTCATTTTTTTTTTTCATATCTCTTGTGGTACTAAAGAACGTTGTTCAATTAGTTGGGAGTTATTTTCAAACAAACAAAAAAATTAGTAGGGATTTGAGAGATTTGGCAAATCAAATGTACTTTACCAAGAGTATTTGAGTTGGGAATTCTTTTGTCGTATCTCCATAAGCTTTGGTTCGTTAGGAAAGCAAAACAAGAGTGATCTTCAACGTTTGTGTTTTGGAGAAAGTATGACAAATTGTAGCCAACCGGATCTGAAGTGAATGTTTCATCAATAATCACATCCACGGTCTACAAGGAGATAAAAGAAAATTAAAACACTAATTAAGTCAAGTACATAAAAATTAATTAACACCTAACTAGGAAGTGCTAATTAAGTGAAAGCAAGCCACAATATGCGGAGATTAAGCAAATCCAAATTGATGAATTTATATTAAGCTCTTTGTACATGTTATGGTCAACTTACACAAAGGATGGCATGCAATTGCTCCAAATCATCGGGGCTAGAAATGTTATAGCTAATCTTGTTGATAGAGTCATCAACATTCTCTCCTCCTGCGTCTTCCACATACTTGGTAGAAGCGAAAAGTGAAAGAAGGAAAATTAGTAATAGGATTTAAGACCTGTGGTTATTATTAATAATAAATCTCATTTTTTATCTCTCCTAATTTAGAGGGATTCTTTCATAGAATTTGTCCAATTTATCTGTCATTATTAGAGAAAAGAATATTATCACCGGTGCCTCTTGTACTTTGAGGTCATTTTTAGTTTACCCCTAAGCTTTAAAAACTCTCTTTACCACTTGAATTTTGAATTGCTCACACTTAATCATTTTTTGTTGGAATTTATACAAATAGAAGAAAAGAGAGTTTTGTAGTCGCATGCTCTTTCTGTTTGAATACTTGTTAAAAGAAAAAGATAAAAACTACATGACCAACACTTAAACCATATTTTTTCAATCTGATTTTAACAAAAATTCTTACAAAAAGGCTTAATTAAGACTAATCCAAAATTTTTACGGAGCAAATCGAGAATTTTTCAAAATTTAAAAGGCAAACTGTAAATGACTTTAAAATTTATGGGCATCAATGATAATAATCCTTAATAAAAGAAACCAAACGAAAATGATAAAATGGTTATTTTGATTAGCTTTCACATTCAAAATATATTTTTGAACAATTTTAGTACCTTTAACTTGTATGTTTCTTTTGCAAAAGACCATGCACCCTGCAGCAAAGAGAAATCTGAGCAGTAAGTAAACAAAAACTAATCTAACTTACATGTAACAATATGACACAGACAAGTAAAACAGAATGGTGATAAACCAAAGTAAGAATTACTATTCATGTTGTATGACAAAGAAAAAAAAATTGAATTAATTTGTCAAAGAAGATATGTTGATCTTTATATATGCCCCTAGCTAAGAGTTGTTTTTTTTACATTGCTAAAATCCATCCAAGCGACAATAGGTTTGAATGATGCCCTGCCCGAAGATGCCTTAGTCAAGCATAGATAATTCTGTTTAACCTGCAACAGAAACATTATTATTTTATACAAAACTTGACATATATATATATATATGTATGTATGTATGTATGTATATATAAATTAAGGAACATGTTCATACGTACAGCACTGTATACTCGATTGGCTCTATCTTCAAGGTTTGCAAAACTTCCCAGAAACTTGATCCATTCCGCTCTCTATCAAATTATTCCGAGAAAAAGATTATCGTAATAATAATTATAAAAAAAAAAAAAAAAAACACCTTCTATACCCATGCATAAACAATATTTGTAATCATCAAGTTTTTATATGCACCTGAAAAGAGAATATATACATACACACATATGTATACATTAGAATTAGACGTGATAGTGACATTTTCAAATCTAAAGAAGAATTTTGTTAACTCTGAATTATCAATGAATTGGAAAACAGAGGCTAGATTTTGTACTTCGCTAATACTTTTTTTTTTTTTGCTACTTATTAGAGTTTGAGGAGGGAGATGAGAAGAAAATCAGGGGAGAAAAATTGCACTGAGTTTGAGGAGGAAGATGAGAAGAAAAGTAGGAGAGAAAAATTACACTTTATAAAGTATTTAACTTTCATCTTAAAATAAAATTTTTAAGATAGAAGTCTGATACCTTATAAAGTGCAATTCTTCTCCCTCACTTCTCTCCTCAAACTCTAATATAGTATCAGAGCCAATTACTCAAACGAGCTGGATCGATTCATCAAAATAAAATTGATGACTCCTAACGGAGCACCATCTTACGGGGGCGTGTTAAAGGTAAAATGCTCGAGTCTCATATTGTCTAAATACAAACTTAATCACAGCTATATAAGGATATTAGACCACCTCACTTAAACATGTTAACCTTTTAAGATGGAAACTAAATACCTTATAAAATGTAATACTTTGTTCATTTACTTCTCTTCTCACACTCTAATATTACTGAGCTAACAATTACTTAAGCTCTACATATTCCCTGCAAATAAAATTCAGATTGTACGTAACCACAAAAATCAAAAAGTTAATTTCTTTTGAACTCAATTATCAATGCCAGGCAAATCAATAATTATTTTGTTCTTTACAGTAAGATTGTAAGAAATTAAATATGGTTTGTTTAGCAAGTCAAATAACTATATATAAAGCCTGCATATATATATATATATATATAGACACACACACTAACTATATATAATGCAAGCAGCAAGAGTACTAGCGGTACCATGCATTTAAAAAAGGGCAAATAAGTCCACTTCACATTACAATATATATGTAACACAATTTATTACCATGTGTCAAGTCAAATACACAAGATATATATATATATATATAGATATATAGAAATAGGGACAGTCCGCTTTTCTATTAGTAGTATTAGTTTTTAAATATTAAATGTGATAAAAATTAAATTAGATTAAAAAAGTATATAGAACATATAATTTTTAATATAAATTTAATATTAGATAATCTGATCATTACCTGCAAAGGGGTAGTCTCTCCGGAAGGAACAAATGATGCGAAATTGCAAGCTTGTGACTGGTCAGTGTCGCTAATAAAGTGAGCTGCAAATTGTGAAAGTTGTTGTGGATCACTTCCATTAATCACTTGGATTTCTCCACTTTCATACAATTTCTTTACGCATTGAGACGCCACCAATTCTGAAGTAATGCCCTTTAGGCTCCCCAGTAGCCCTAGTAACTGTATTAATTTGTTGAATATAAGTAATTAAACATACGTATAATATTGCATATAATTAATGGGGTTGGACCTAGAGATGCAACAATGGGTCGGGACCCGTGGGCTAGCCCAGACTCATTCTGACATAGTGACGAGCCGGGCTAGCACGGTCCCGGCCTATCACTATTCAAGGCACGGCCAACCCATAAATATTAATGGGCTGGGCCAACATGGGTCGGCCCGGCACGATCCATGAAAAAGCATGGGTCAGGCTGGGCTTAGGCCGGCCCGTCTAGGCCCACAATGGGCCGGCTCAGCGGGCCCGTCTAAGCCCACAATGGGCCGGCCCGTCTAGGCCCACAATGAGCCGGCCCATCAGAGCTCGTCTAGGCCTATAATGAGTGATGAAAACGTTGAAATGTTAAAATCTTCCTTGAGAATTCATTCACAGATGAACATTACTCAGTATAGTCTTCTGTAGTAAAAGGCCTCACACATCACATCATAACAATTTTATTTCTTGCTGATAGGCGTGTTTTATTTCTGAGAAGCAAAGTTGGTACTGTAAGTCATGGATTATCACATCAAAATATTATACATTTAATATATATATATATAATTATTATTATTTTGTGTGAGATAGAGATGCAAGAACGGGCCGGGCTGGCCCAAAGGCCGGGCCGGCCCATATACGAATTACCTCGGCCCAGCCCAGCCCACGAGCCAACTTTACGTCGGCTAGGCTGGGTCGTGCCGTGGGCCAGGATGGGCCGTGCCGTGGGTCTTGAATGGGCTGGCTCATATTGGTCCATTATGGGTTTAGATGGGCTGGCTCATTCAAGACCTATCTTGGCCCATCTAAACATGCAATTTTAATTTTTTAATTTTTTTTAATTTTTGAATTTTTAAACAAGTTAACAAATATAAAAGTTTGAATAGTCAACGGGAATATGAAAAGATATATTTTATTTACGATTGCCTCATTAAAAACCTTTCTAAGGAAAACCCAGTGGGACAAAATCTTGGTAAGAAAAAAAGAGTACAATCAGGATAATTATACATAAGATGTTTACAAAATTACTAAAACAAAGAAAAAACATAAAAAAAAAAGATGTTGTTCGTAATTACAATGTATTACTCCCAGTGGGAGTATCAGAAATGTCCAAATTTTCAAAGTCATCAACCCAATCATCTTTAACTTGTTGGCTTCTTCTGCGAGCGCCTCCTAATCTTTGACTCACATTACTGTCTCCAGAATATCATCACTCAAGCGTGCATGTTGTTCATCAAGTACTCTACCACTGCAACTAAATACTTGTTCACTTGCAACTGTGGACACTGGTATGGTTAGTATATCACGTGCCATTCTAGAGAGCACAGGAAAAGTTCTTGAATGTGATCTTCAAAATGACAAAATATCAAACTTATTAAAATCATGGCCACCACCTTGCTCATTGAAAATGAATGTCGCAAAATTTGTTTCCAAATAGTTTTCCAATTCACTACGTGTTGAAGATGTGGATGACGCACCGAAACCAAATCCAGTGTAGCTAATCATACTTTCCCATGAAGAACCATGTGGTACAGATGTAGTACTCGCTAAAGGTGTACGACACATTGTTTGGCCTCCTCCATATTTTTCATTATATGCAGAAATAAAGTGTTAACTTTTACTTGCACATTTTGAATGGTTATGATGTCAGAATGCACCTTCAGTTTTTCCCTTATACCCTTAAGCAAATTTTCAGCACCAGCTAATTTAACTATTGGATCCAATACAGTGGCTACGCAATACAAAGGTGGAACACACTCTCAATATTTTTTAAATTTGTATTCCATGAACTCAATAGATTCCCTAAACATGTCAAAATCTCTATGCATATCAAAGGTTGCAGCAATGTCGTACAATTTATGTAATGCATGGGGAGAGGTGGGATAGTACACACCTGAGAGTTGGAGAGAGACTTCATAAAAAAACCTTCAAGAAATTGTAGAAACATGAAGCAATTTGCCAATCAATTTCTTGAAGCGGCTCAGTTGGATTCTTCAAGTTGTAATACGTGGTTATAACTTCTTTGTATGGTAGGCATGCGTTTAGCATCAAATAGGTTGAATTCCATCGGTGTCTCACGTCAGTAGAAAGTTTTCTGGGTTTCATGCTTGCTCTCTTGCAAGGTTTAGCAAATTCTTCAATTCAAGAGCCAGAACTTGCTATATAACCCAAGGTCGTTCGAATATTTTTCAAATAACCTTGAAAAAATTTCATGTCATCTTGAACACACAAGTTAATAATATGACAAGCACATCTTTGGTGAAAAAGTGTTCCGCCATGTTGTGGTTTCAAAGTTGTCTTGAAAAGGTTAATCGCAGCTATTAGCAGATACATTGTCAAATGTGATGCTCAAAACCTTTTCTTTAATGCCATAAAAATCAAAAACTTCCATGATGACATCATGAATGGCCTTGGCATCATGTGGATAAGGCATTGATCGAAAAGTAATTAACCTTTTTTGAAAAGACCAATCTTTATCCACATAATGTGTCGTTACACAAATATAACTAGTTTTGGTGCGACCTTCCCACAAATCAGATGTGCATGCAACAAATGCAGTGAATGAACTAAATTCATTGACTAAATTTCCCTCATTGAATGAAGAACTTTCATAGTGTCAGCTCTTGTGGTAGTTCTTGAAACATGCTTACATTCAAAATGCTTATAATCCACAATATAAGTGTATTTCAAGAACTACCACAAGAGCTGACACTATGAAAGTTTTTCATTCAATGAGAGAAAATTTAGTTAATGAATTTAGTTCATTCACTGCATATGTTGCATGCACATCTGATTTGTGGGAAGGTTGCACCAAAACTAGTTATATCTGTGTAACGGCATATTATGTGGATAAAGATTGGTCTTTTCAAAAAAGATTAATTGCTTTTCGATCAGTGCCAATTCCACATGATGCCAAGGCCATTCATGATGTCATCATGGAAGTTTTTGATTTTTATGGCATTAAAGAAAAGGTTTTGAGCATCACATTTGACAATGCATCTACTAATACTGCTGCGATTAACCTTTTCAAGACAACTTTGAAACCACAACATGGCGGAACACTTTTTCACCAAAGATGTGCTTGTCATATTATTAACTTGTGTGTTCAAGATGACATGAAATTTTTTCAAGGTTATTTGAAAAATATTCGAACGACCTTGGGTTATATAGCAAGTTCTGGCTCTTGAATTGAAGAATTTGCTAAACCTTGCAAGAGAGCAAGCATGAAACCCAGAAAACTTTCTACTGACGTGAGACACCGATGGAATTCAACCTATTTGATGCTAAACGCATGCCTACCATACAAAGAAGTTATAACCACGTATTACAACTTGAAGAATCCAACTGAGCCGCTTCAAGAAATTGATTGGCAAATTGCTTCATGTTTCTACAATTTCTTGAAGGTTTTTTTATGAAGTCTCTCTCCAACTCTCAGGTGTGTACTATCCCACCTCTCCCCATGCATTACATAAATTGTACGACATTGCTGCAACCTTTGATATGCATAGAGATTTTGACATGTTTAGGGAATCTATTGAGTTCATGGAATACAAATTTAAAAAATATTGGGAGTGTGTTCCACCTTTGTATTGCGTAGCCGCTGTATTGGATCCAAGAGTTAAATTAGCTTGTGTTGAATATTTGCTTAAGGGTATATGAGAAAAACTGAAGGTGCATTCTGACATCATAGTCATTCAAAATGTGCAAGTAAAAGTTAACACTTTATTTACTGCATGTAATGAAAAATATGGAGGAGGCCAAACAATGTCCCCTACACCTTTAGCGAGTACTACATCTACACCACATGGTTCTTCATGGGAAAGTATGATTAGCTATCTTCAATGAGCAAGGTGGTGGTCATGATTTCAATAAGTTTGATATTTTGTCATTTTGGAGATCACAGTCAAGAACTTTTCTTGTGCTCTCTAGAATGGCACGTGATATACTAACCATACTAGTGTCCACAGTTGCAAGTGAACAACTATTTAGTTGCAGTGGTAGAGTACTTGATGAATGGCATGTACACTTGAGTGACGATATTTTGGAGGCAGTAATGTGCGTCAAAGATTGGAAGGACGCTCGCAGAAGAAGCCAACAAGTTCAAGATGATTGTGTTGATGACTTTGAAATTTTGGACATTTATGATACTCCTACTGTGAGTAATACATTGTAATTACGAACAATATCTATTTTTTATGTTTTTTTCTTTGTTTTAGTAATATAATTATCATGATTGTACTATTTTTTCCTTACCAAGGTTTTGTCTCACTGGATTTTTCTTGGAAAGATTTTTAATAAGACAATCGTAAATAAAATATATCTTTTCATATTCCCATTGACTATTCAAACTTTTATATTTGTTAACTTATTTAAAAATTCAAAAATTAAAAATTACATGCTTATATGAGTTGGCTCATCTATACCCATGATGGGCCAATATAGGCCTTGAATGGGCCAGCCCATCTAAACCCATGATAGGTCAATATGGGCCAGCCCATTCAAGACCCACGGCACGGCCCATTTTGGCCCACGGCACAACTCAACCTAGCCCACGGCACGGCTCAACCTGACCCACGTAAAGTTGGCCCGTGAGTTGAGTTGGGCCAAGGTAATTCGTATATAGACCGGCTCAGCCCGACCCACATAATTTGTGGGGCGGGCTGGGCTGGCCCGTTGTTGCATCTCTAGTTGGACCATATCATATTTTTATGTAGTATTAATCATTAGATATTTGGAAAATCTTGGTACATTTGAAAAGAAAAACACAGAAGACGGAAAAAAATGTATAATTTTGTAGAAATTAAGTTCAAGAAAGTCAACTTACAGAAATCCGTAGTTCTCACCTCAAAATAGGAAACTGAAATTTCATTCCAAAAAGAAAGGGAAAAAAAATCATGGGTCAAAGTTAGAACATTAAGCTAAACCAAAAAGAACATAAATATAACATGATTTAATGAGTAACACTTTGTTAATTCTACAATTTGAATCACATATTTGTCACGATTTTTATGCAAGGTATCTAATCAATATATATGGTTTTGAAAATCACTTTTGTTTCTCTTCCGTTTAATTGTAAGTGTATTTAAGGTACATACATATTCACATATACAAATCTACATATCGATGTATTATATATATTATATACCTGGAAAGTTATTTGTATCGACCGAATAGTTTGATAATGGGATGACAAATGATTTGATCCTTGTAGTGCAATATTTTGTTCTTGTCGCCATCCTCGAATCACTCTGTAAATTTTAATATGTGGAAAGAAAGTTGAGAATAAAATTACAAGGGTAGTCAGATGAAGTTCCACTTTTGCCAAAAGAACACATTTTGTTTAGTAGTTAAGAAGTTTTCAGCTAAATAGTTTTCTTTGGTTAATGTGACCCAAAAAAAAAAAAAAAAAAAAAGAACTGAACAAATTTCTCCTCAAAAGACAAGGATACGTCTACTTATGTAAAAGTAAAACACATCTCTCATGACTTTTTTTAGTAATAGTGGAGCTCACTTCGTGTAAAAGATATAAAGAATATAAACCTATGTTGAAAATAAGAGAAAATAACATTTTTATCCACATAGTGAAAGATTAACGTTTTTAATTATAAATAATAACGATAATAATCTCCATTTAAGGTTTGGTTTCTAAAATCGACTGCTTTTGTGTGGACAGTGCCAGTGGGCATGCTCTGTTCTGAACACTGGGCCTTGTTCCTAGTTTCTAACGGGCCATGATTGAAGAATCCATGGACCAGAAGGTCCATAGAGACCAATTCAGACTACTAAAAAGAAAATGCTCACATAAATAAATGATAAATGATTTATGGCTGTATATTTGTTGAATTAATCTCACTGCTACCTCTTGAACTTTTAACTATCCTATTTAAGCCCTTTTATAAGATTTGTTTATTAAAATCAAATGCAAAAATAAGGAATTAAGTATAAATCTATTTATTTTTAATAGAAATTTAAATAAAAAGACTACCCATTACTTCTTTTTTTTTCTATATATTTTTAACATAATTACAGCAAAAATGATTAAGTAAATTCAAAGTTTATAAAACAAATGAAGAGTTTTTAAAATTCAAGAGTGACCTTATAATTGAGGAGGCACCAATAATAATAATTCATATTTGTGTTTCCATTAGACTGCAAAGTGAATGTTATATTTTGGCATACCAAATCAATACTTAATATATCCTGAAAATGGCCAACTGACCATTTGTATAGTTGCGTCTCCCTATCCCTATGAGCCCCCTTTCATCAATTGAGCGGCTAATTGTTCATATTAAATAATTCAACCAAAAGTTTTTTCTAATTATCAGTTTCTTCTTTTGGGGCTAGTGGAGTCTTACTCTCAAATTTTAACGACGTAAATAAATAAATAAATAAAACCCACAATTTTACTAATTAAGGCTCCGTTTATTTCACCAATTCGACTTTAAAATTTGAATTTGCTACGGTAAAAAGCTATCAAAAATAGTTACATTTAATTTTTTTACTACAGTAAAAAGTTTTCACATAAAGTCACATCTCAACTCGAATCAATAAACTAAACGGGCCCTAAAACTAATTTAGCCAAAGGAAATTAATCTCTCAAGCAACTAAAGTTAGATTCCCTCTCAATATTCGTAATGTATCTTTATATATACATGATATTTGTAAACTCACAAAATAATCTTATGTAAGATGACATGGTACAGACAACATAAAATGGGGAAGTTGAGGAATATAATACATACATACATACATACATATAATATATATATATATATATATAAAAGAGTACCTGAATAAGTAGATAGCTCTTTCCATCAACGACATTCTTTATGACTTTGAAGGTCTGGCCATAGTATATATGAAAGTTGGAAGCATCTTCCACCTTTGAAATAGTTCCCACTTTCACAGGCGCCGTCGCAGCACTCGCACCTCCAAAACCCCCACAGCTCATTAACGACACCCAAACCACATTCCACAAAAACATCAACAACAAGATGTTCACATTAGAATTCCATTTCCAACCACTAGAACAATAGTAAGGCCAAACCATTATTATTTCCTTGGAGAAACAAACAAATAACCAAACCCCTTCTAGTGGTACTAAATAATATGCTAATATTATACAGATATATAGCTCTCTATATTAGCTAGCCAAAGCTTTCACCATTTTATGTATATGGTACTAATTATTAGTTGAGACTTGAGAGAGAGAGAGAGAGAGAGAGAGAGAGATGAAGAGATTATTGCAGCTTTATATGGGTGGCTTTTGAGAGAGGGGATTGGAGGAAACCATTTGTTTAATTGGGTTAAGAAGAACAGTAAGATGGCCCGTGAACCCACTTTGTTTTGCTGCCTATATATGTTTGTCATCTTCTTTCCGTCACTTTGCTGCGTGTTCTTAAATTGTTACCTTTTTTATCCCCAAAGTTATATGCTTTCATATGCTGTGCACCACAACTACTCCGCCACTACCAACCGGTCAGATAAAAGGGGCATTCTATTGTGGGGACATCCTAATATAGGTCATTGATTGTGACTGCAAAACTTAAATTAGATGATTAGATATTATGTGAGACTGGATACTATAAGATGATTTTTTTTTTTTTTTTTTGAATAATACACTTGTGTATAAACATTTTTGCTCGATTTTGATTGTACGGTTTAGATCAATAAACCTATCAGTAAGCTGCCACTAGTGTACAATCTTCCTAATATTCAAAAAAAAAAAAAGAAAAAATAATTATTAGAAAAGGAAACTTGGGAAATCCTTGTGAGGTTTTATTTTTAGGTACGTGTTTTTTGTTTTATTTATTTATTATTATTATTATTATTTGTAATTAGGTTTTAGATACATTTAATGGTATTTTATATAATTGTCCGTATCCAGCTGTTGGTTTCACAAGCTGTAACCGGATATTCTTCAGGGTCGAACAAAACCGTGACTCTACGTTGCTTTCAAAAAGAAAGTTATGTGAGATATTGGACCCTCAAGTCCCAACCATATCGATTATCAAGATCTCCTTTGCCCCTTCTAGATTAAGATCACGTGAAGGTCTATAAAGTCTTGGCCATCACTATAATAGAAAATGAAGATTTTGAAAAAAAAAAGTCCGTTATGCAGTTTCTTTAATTAGATCTGGTCGAGAAAATGTTGTATCAATAACATGAGTGAAGAATCCTCTCAAGGCACGGTTAAATAAGCTCGAGCTTGCGTCTAGGCAAGCTCACGAATTTGATGAACTCAAGTTCATGAGCTCGCATGACGATTCAAATGAGCTTGCATGTTAGTGAGCTAGAGCTTGAGCTCAAGCTCGCATCATCGCGAACTCACGTCAAGATGAGCATGCAAGATGTACAAGATCACTTGTGGACGTTTAGTTCATGGATTTAGAACTATTCTAAGTTTACGTATTTTTTCTGTAAGAGAAAATACTGTAACGAGCCACGAACCATGACACAAATCTTTATACCAAAAAGAAAGTCCATATTAGAATATAAGTGTAACAAAGAGGAGATGCTTCCTTAAAATTCGGAACCAATTGTCTTAATATGCAAAACGTTTGTTTGTCTAGGTATCTTGGGCATAACAAATAACGTGATTCAATGATTAAAAAATTAAAAATTATATGTGACTCATTTTAAAAAGGCAGTTCATAGAATATATAGGGAGTGTCAATTCGAACCGAATTCTAGAGTTACATTAATCTCCAATACATAATATTAAGGGTTAATTTTATAAGCAGTCTATGAGGTTTACCTTCAATCTCAATTTTTAAAATGTCTAATAATTGGTCACTGAAGTATTTTTAAAATGTCTAATAATTGGTCATTGAAGTTTTACTTTGCTTCAGTTATAATCATTCTGTTAGTTAGGTGTTAAACATTTGATGGAATTTGTGAAAATTAAGTACCAAAATTAAGATCATTCAAAGTTCAGACTTAAACAATATAAAAAATAAAAAGTTTATCTCCACAAGTAGTCCCTAAATTTTAATTGTTTCCAATTTGGCCGTTAATTTACACAAATTTCATCAAATATTTAACAGTTAGTTAAAGAAAGTACCGAAACTGAAACAGAGTAAATCTCATATACTAAATGCAAGATGTTTTTAAAGTCAGAGATCAAAATGAGATTTAAAAATATACTTCAAAGACCATATGTGAAGTTAACCCTAACATTAACGTTATGACTCATTTTACGTTCTACGACGAGTGGACGCGTTAGTTTGGTCGCTGTGTTGGTATATTTTGGCTGAACGCTCGGATGCTTCAGTTTCATGTACGTTCGTAACCGCATAGGCGGAACTATGGATCTTATCATGCTGAAAATGGTGAAGAGATTCATAAACGTTATTGCCTCGCCGGATTTAGAGGGCAAGTCGTCAATTGAAGATCCATAAAGAATTCTGCTGTGTAATTAGCAATTACATCAATATAATCTTACCATAAAGGTAAACATTTCATTAAGCGGTGATAACGCAAACGGTTTTGTTTTGTTTTGTTTCCCCCCCACCCCACCCCCCCGATAAGATCAAGCCAAGAATGCTGTAAAGTTGACGAAATAACAAAATCAACGTTTTCAAAGTTAAAAGCAGAAATCCCTACTTTGGTAGAGGTGGTTTTTTTTTTTTTTAAATGCAATGAAGATTCGAACTTTAGACTTCAGCATTAAAGGTAAAGATTGGACTTACCGCCAGGCTAAGGCGTGAAACCACATGGAAGAGGTGGTTCACGATGCAACCGTGTGTTGATCTACCAACTCGAAGTTGTTATTTAAGCTCGTGTCAATTTGAATACAACTTTCGCAACAAAGCCTCTTTGAAAAACAAAAATCACAACTAGTTACCCCAACTTTCGAGTGTTCCTTGTGTCCCAGACACACAGTCGAGGAAACTTCACTATTATTCTGCTTTCAAAACGCACAAGTATTACATAACAAAAAAAGGACACGGCCTTCGACACGAACGCCCTCCTTCAAGCACTTTCTGGAAAAGAAACTCAGAGATCCTCAGGACCATTGATGTTCTGGACATGAAAGACGGAGATTTAGAGCATGCGTATATTTAATACGAATAAAGAAATAAATTATCTACGTATATATCGGGTGCTTATATGGTAACTTGTCGGGGGACTCCATGTAATTACCTTGTTTTCAAGCACAGCACCATCAGGAATCTCTAACTTCACCCCTGACTTCGCAGTGACACTTACTTTCCCCTTATATAGGAAACCGGAATGGCAAAAAGTTACATATACTAATATTTCAAATTGTAAACCAAGGAAAAGAATCTGAAGAATCGCATAAGCAACACGGAGTTTAATAATGTTAAGTCAAGTTAGCTTCCTTAATTAGTAATTCTTGATGCTTGAGTATTTAATGGGATCAAAGAGCGCCAAAGAAAACTAAAAGGCCACAAGGATGGCTAGTCAATTGACACAGTACGCAACATATACTATCACAGCATATGGATAGTCAAACTGATTTATGAGGGGGAAAAAAGTAAAAGTAAAAATCCGCATATGTTATAGCTTTGCTCCAACGATTAAATTTGTTGTCGTCTATCATTCTCCTCATTACTCAATTTCAAAGAACTCGTATGGCAAGCAAAGTGTTTCATTTTATTAGTACATAAGAAAATCTGAATATGATTCATTTCAAAACAAGCAAGCGATGTGTTTCATTTTATTAGTACCTTGAGAACGATGCCAACGCCAAACCACACATCACCAGAAACCTTAAGGCTATCTAGTTCAACAATGCTAGGGATTGACTTCAACCGACTCAAGAAATTGCCAACCTGTAGAAGGACGAAAGAAATAAAACAAGATTACTTTATTTGTTAAGAAACTACAGTAGATTTAGAAGGATCTAGGAATATAAATTCACTACAACAAATGCTCACCTTCTTGAATTCAGGCCCCAATTCAATAGAAGGATTTGCAGGGTTTGTTCTAGCTTTATTCCGAATGATAAAACCATCTTCCAGAGTATAGAGATCAGACTGCAAAAGAAATGAAAATATGAGTTGGACTTGTGAAACTGACAAATAAATATTCACAACCTAGGAGAGAATGTCAGAAAAGAAGGTAACCTGCACTAGAAGCAAATCTGAAGTTGCCTTTACTGGAAGGAATCGAGATCGGGGCACATTGATTCCAATAGCGTTATCGAAGAACTGGTTGAAGACACATAGCATTGTAATTAAAAACTGATTGAGTTTCAACTTCTAAAAATATCTGAAGACATTTTGTATGTTGTCCATACCCTTATCGCCGCACCAGCAGCAGTTTCCAGCTGAAGAACTTTGATTCCATCCACTTCCTAGAAACAAATTGAAGCATCAAAAGTCAGCAACTTGACAAGAATAGACAACTGGCTTCACTATAAATGAAAACTTTTACCTTCGGGTTTGGAATAATTTCCATTTTGAGTCCATCAGATTCCACAAGCCTTTTAATTGCCTTCAGGTTCACCCACCTGAGAATATGGTGTTAGTACCAAACCATCATATATCTATAACATTTAATGCAACCCGACTTACAAGTTATTTGTGTTGAAAATTTTGAATTTCTCTATCGACTTGAATTCGTTGACCTGTTCCAAAGAGAAAACTGCACATGAATCCATAAACTTGCCAAAATGTACTTCTTATAATATACTAGCAAAGTACATTCTAACAATATTGTAGGAGGCCGCAGCTGTTTGTATCAAGCAAAGCAAGGCACTCGTAGAGCACCTCATATCACCTCAAGAAATGAGATGAAAAACAATTTTCCAAGGATCACCAAATGTTCACCGGTGATTCAGCCATAACACCCAAGATGGCAATACATGATCTAAAAGAATATGATATCATACTGCCTATGATATAGCAAACAGCTCTGGGCAGAGGAGAAAGTGCCCTGGTTTACATTATAATAGAAAATTGTCTGAGATGTCAATTGACATTTCACTGAATATTGTGTAGGGATTCGTGAAGTGATGAGACTAATCTGCTTTACTTGTGTCCTTACAGAAGGGAACTTCTTACTGTCACGATTCAAATTTGCAAAACATAGTCAACTGCCACAGAACTAATGCTGCTCTTTTCTTTTTCTTTTTCCTTTTCATTTCATTCCTGTTAGATTTTTTTACCTTCACAAAATCAATCCAGCTTCTCCAGGTAAGGAGTAGGGGCGAGGGTGACAAGTATTAATTAATCTCTCAGACCTCAAAACAGGCCGTGCTGTCAATGTTGATCCATGCTACTATTAATTTCATAATCATATTTTATTAATAACAGATTTATGCTAACCAAAAGCATATAATTAACCAAAACAAACTTAATGGATTCCACCAGATTAAGGTTTCATATTTTGACGTTGATGTAAGTTTTTTTTTTTTTTTCGGTAACCTCCATAAACTAGTAAACTATTTCAGAGTTGCAACTGTATCCTCGTTTCGTAGCAGGTTAGTAAGTCAGACCCTCAAGACTTACAAGATTTTACTTGACTAACGATGAAAGTAGAAGGTTCAGTTATGTCAGCCACCAGTTGCTATATGCAGTCCAAATATTGAGTAAATGCCGAAAGTGAACGGTAAAACACAAGATTGAAAGAAAGAATGATAACTTACATGTTCATCAGCAACTTGAGCAATTTCCAGTAGCTGAAAAAGATCATAAGAGAGACGGAGACAGGAAGAAAAAAGGTTATTCCTTATCGTTGTATTTGTCTTCAAACAAGAAGGATAAAACAAAACAAAAAATAGTAGCTAATCTAATCGAGGATAAACTCATTAATGAGGTAGCCTATTCAGATGATGCCAAGACCGAATATATATATATATACTTTTAGGTTAAGTGCTTAAAGATTTACTTGGAATGGATTTCATTATCACTGCAAGTTAATATGAAGATTTTTCCCAAGCAAGGATTGAAAAAAGACTCTGCTTTTCAATACGAGTAAATATAGGCACTCAATAATATGCATATTGCATTCCTTAATCCTAAGCAAAGCAAACTGAGCAAGTACCTAAATTCAACCCTTGAAAATTCACTTCAAATGGAGCAAAAGACGATAGATAATAGACAAAATATTATACCTGAACTCTTCCTTCATAAGAGATGAGAGTGCCACCCTTCACATCAGCCAGTGTTTTGGGTGTCACCTGAATGAAAAAAAAAAAGAAAAAAAAGGAAGAAATGAGAAACAGCATTGATACTTGAAAGGCTGTCTATTATATAAGACATATGTCTGTACCTCCATACAGTATTCGTTCTTGTTCTTAATCAAATGACTAAGGATTTCTACGAAATCCAGTCAAGGAAAGTAATTCTATGAAGGAATTTCTTTTCATGCCCAATTTCATAAGAAAAACAATTCCATACTATAAGCAGTAAAGAACTATACACCAGAGAAAAAAGTGGATGAAAATAAGGATACTCAAGTCGACAATTGCACCCAAGTTATCTGAGTTGGCAACGAACACATATTCTTTTCCCTGCAACGGAGAAAAGAGTGAAAAACTAAGCACAAAAGTGAATAAAATTTAGAGCATGCTCAATTGCTCAGACATTACAAGGTCTACAAATGTGTTGTAGTACCAACCCGTGACAATAATGCATCAAGTTTTCCACTGTTCTTTAGGGATGGAAACACGTCACCGTGGCCAGGAGGGTACCTTCATGACATAAGTAATCAGGAGCAGAAAAGAATAAGAAACCATACAAACTAGAACATAAACAATATGTAAGAAGTAAAATAGGACCTGAAAAACATGAAAGAGACACCAAAAAAAATTATATTAATACAAAATGGTGTTTGGTCGGAATATGGAGCATCAGTTAATACTCACGCAGCAGGTGCAAAATAGTTTGACTACCAGTTAAATGATATAGCTACATGTGCAAGCTTAATATGAAATTATATCATACCATCCATCCTTCCCTGTCTGCCCCTTAGATGGGAGTGGTGTAAAATCCTCTACAACCAGACGGGGATACTGACTCTGAATGAAGTCAAAGCAGGAAGAAGTTCAAAGTTCATTCTTTCAAGTTTTTATCAATCAGAAAGTTGAAAATAGAGGAGCACATTAAGAAATCGCAGTGGCTAACCTGATTGAAAGTATGAATCTCAACATTTGAGCTGGAGTATTTTTCAACAATCTAAATTCAACATTAAATAGTCAAGTAATGAGTAAAATATTAAAAAATATATATCATTGCTACGAATTTACGCAGATAGTAGTGTCATTGCTATGCATACAATTGAGCTTAACAACAACAAAAGATATGACCTAGGATATTCACCTTCAATGTATCATCATGAGTGTTGAACGAGTTCATTAGAAGCAGTGGAACATTGCACCCATATTTAGAGTTCAGATTCTGCAAATAACTAAAGGAGTAAGAAAACTGTGCATTTCTATGCGTATATGTGTGTTATGTGTGCGCATGAAGAGAGAGAGAGAGAGAGAGAGAGACAGACCTCAATCTGGATAACAATTAAATCAAGAAAAGTTAACCCGTCACGAACTTCAATGACTGACCTGCACGCCAAAAAAGTTCTTCTACGTTCAGCAACAACCAAAAAGAAGCTTACAGTATAGACCCCCAAAGTAGATGCAAGTCAGATAAAAATCATGCAAAACCTGAACTCAAAATGTGATCAGAGTGTGTAAATATTTCGATCTAAATTTGAAAATTATTAAACTTGCAAGTAAGAAGAATCCAAGTGCTACTCCAAAAATGCAGATTCGATCATTATTTATTAATTCAAGGCTAGATTTTTATTAATTCTTTTTGATAAATATTATGGTCCCAATGCAAAGAAAACAAGTATAAAATAAATGAAGTACGGGCATGTGATAATTTGAAAACAGGGTCAGTATTTTAAGATTAAGATTAGTTCTTTTCAACAAAGATTCGTGTTAAAAGATAATCAGCGAATTTATAAGCTTATCCCAAAGTGATGAAAAAGAGAGATGTTGGAATTGTATTGATTTGCGTACTTGGGACCAGTACAGCCCATTGTTGTCCCCAGACCTCCATTAAGCTTAAGCACCACAAGTTTATCCAAAAGCTTCTTGATCTCCTCGGGATCTGTATCAATGCAGATAATCACACACTTGTTTCAAAAAGATCGATGAAGAAACAATAAAATGTAATAAGTCCAGATGAGCCCAAATTTGCTAAGAAACAAATTTGATTTTTCTTACCATCAGAAGTTGGCGCCAAGGTTTCATAAGGAACCACTACCTCATCAGTAGGCGTTTGGATCTTACTCCATTCAACATATTGTGCTTCCCCACTTTTAAGCGCATAAGATCCATCACAAATCAAACGACTCATCAAAATCATCCTCTAGAAAAGCTATTGAATTGTGATATTCGTGTCTTATTAACTTATATAACAAGAAGTACCATCTAATATAAAACTTTGTTTTTCCTTCCTCTTCAGTAATTCAATCACCAAATAAATAAATAAATAAATAAGGATCGAAATAATTCATTACTCTCATAAAACAAATTCAAATCACAATTAAACAATGACTGATCAATATCATCCTCTAGGAAAGCTATTATACTACAATTTGAGTCTAATTAATTGATTCAACATGAAGTAACTCGTATAATAACTAAAATTTTCCATCCTTTTCCGCAATTTAATCATCAACACACGAAAAATCCGTTCTTCTCAGATAAGCAAATCCAAATTTACCTAAGATAACGAGAAATTAGGTTGATGAATCCACTCTTCTCATCCTCACTGCAGAACAGAAACAACAAAAGGATCAGAACTCAAATCCCTCAGATCTCATGCAAATTGAATAAAAGACAAATGATACAAGCACTGACCAACTGATCCGATCAGCAAAAAGTCGATCGAAAGTTTGCGAAGAAAACCAGAAACGAAAGAGAAAGATACCTAATCTGGTTAAGGCCGGCGACGGAAGATTTGAGCTTGGAGATCTTCTCGGCGTCAGGGGGGCTCAGAGTAGCAGCGGCGGCAGCCATTTCGGGGCAGTGAAAAGCTTCAATCTAGAGAGATAAAGAAGATGAGAGAGATAGAGAATAGAGCGAGAGAGGTCTACAGGAGCTGAGGACTGGAAAATGGAAATGAAGTGAGAGATTTGGGAGAGACAACGCGCTCTTTGTTCTGTGTAGATAAATTGTATATAGTTGATAATAACCATGTGATGTGAAGAAGAAGCCTAAACTTAACGAGAAGGGTTGTCGAGATTTTTTTATTTATTTTTGTTTTGGGGTTGAGATGTCGAGAATTTGGCGGCACGTAATTTAGAATTATTCGCTCCTTAATTTCACTAATTTAAATTTTAAATTTTAAATTTTTATATTTAAAAATTTTTAAAAAATATTATATTTAATTTTTTTTATTATAGTTAAAATTTTTTAAAAAATATCATATCTCAACTCGAATTAAAAACTCAAATATGTGAAACAAATGAAATCATTTTATTGATTTAAGTTTAAAATTTAAATTTTATTATAATAAAAAAATTTTAAAAACAATCCCACTTAATTTTTTTATAATAAAAAATACTCACATAAAATTATAATTTAACTTAAATTAAAATTTTAAATCCCTGGTCTCGGTGTATTTTAGAGTTGGCAAAAGGACGGCGTATTAATCGAGTTGGGGGTGTGTGGTTATCGCTGGCAGCGATATAGGGGCCTTATAAATAGAAAGAGAGAATATGCAGGCGAATATGACGTTGGGCTCTGGCCTCGTCCAATCTGGGAAAAGTTTGGCGCCACTTTCACGCAAGGGTGACACATGGGCATGGATTTACGCTCACTACCCTATCTCCTTTTCGGGAAAACGAAACAAACATAAAATATTGTGTGGGTTAGTACTTTTAACCTTATTTTTTATTAATATTTTTTAAAAATTTTAATAAATTAAATTAGTTAAAATATATTAATTAACAGTAAAGAATAAGAGTCCGTTTAATTCACTGATTCGAGTTGATATGTGACTTTATATGATAATTTTTTACTGTAGTAAAAATATTAGATGTGATTATTTCTGAGAGCTTTTTACTGTAGTAAAACTCGAATCGGTGAAATGAACGGGGTCTAAAATTTAAACTCGTATATTTTTAAGAGTAATTTAATAATTTTTTTAAAAATAAGATAAATACTTTTAAAAAGTGTATGAATTAAAATTTATACCTTACTCTTAATTAATAACTTTTAAATTAAATAATTATATTAATAAAAAAAATATTTATAAAAAATTAGGATAAAATATTTAAACTCGGGCGCTTTCAAAATAAATTGTGTAATTTTTTCATAATTTTTTCTCTTTTTCTCCTCTTTCCTTGTTGCTGGGGTCTCATCTTTCTTTACAATTGGGCCCACAATCCTGCCCCTTATTGTCAATTTTGAATGATCTTTGAGCAATGGAAAATAGACGAAGATGGCACAGTTACATACTCAAGGATTGACAAATTATACCGGATTTCTATGGGCGTAGTTGGTTTGTGACTTCAATTGAGTCCAAACTTTTGTGTGTTTGAATACTTTGGAACCGAAGAACTTTCACGGAAAATGCATTTGGTGACTTGATTTTTAAATTCTGAAATTGAAGTAGGACTTTAGGATGACACAAGAAGGGGTCATTTATCACCGGAAAAGTCCTCCTCATAACCGCAAAATTATCTCATTCTAGAAGGCGAGAGGGGACGAGTATTCTCCTTCGCAAATTTTTAGCTACCTAATAGTACTTCACCTCGTTAGCTATCGTCCTGTTCATTTCACCGATTTGAGTTTAGAATTCGAGTTTTACTATAGTAAAACGCTCTCAGAAACAATTGCATCTAACTTTTTTACTACAGTAAAAAGCTCTCACATAAAATTACATCTCAATTCGAATTAAAAACTCGAATCAGCGAATTAAACGGACCCTATTACTTTCTGAAAACATTTTTCATCACTTCTTATACAGTATAAGAATAATATGTTATTATCCATTAACTCTCTCTAAAAATCTTTAACCAACTGCCCCTTAAAATAGCAATTTATATCTTAAAAAAAGTAATTTAGGAGAAGGATGTGAATACGAAATAGTTCTAGATGTATAGATTGAGACTAATAATTGAAGAACTATATCATCCTCACACTACTTCATGAATCTTAGAAGACGTCTGGTTCATGGATTAGAATCATGTGATTAGAATCATTTTCGATTTACGTGTATTTTTTGTGAGAGAAAATACTATAGTGAACCATGAACTATGATTCAAATCATAGTTTGAATTCTCCAACCAAACGTCCCCTTAATATGCATTTGTGGATTTCATAACGGTTGGGTTGGCAGTTTAAGCAACGTGAAAGAGTTTATGTGTATTAATTGCAAAAAGACGTTAGATCTCTGATTTATAATATTTAGTGTAAGATCTGATGTTACGTATGGCGTTCCAGATGATGTTGGAACACTGTCTAGAATACGGCTTGATTAATTAAGATCTGGGTTAATTACGTTCAGTTTCTCAAGCAGAATAAAGTGCAGAAAGTAAAGGAACACACAATATGATATCGCAGTTTGGTGCGCACACCTACATCTGCGGGGCCACGTCCAGACTGTCGCGACCCCAAGGATAGGGCTATGATTATTGGGGTTTAATTTAAATTTTAACTTAATTAAACTGGACTGTTTAACTAAATCACATAATTATTACATAAATATCAATATAGTTTGCTCCAGAGACTTTCTTTCACAAATAATATTTAAAACATTCCATAAAGTCCAATGAAAATAGTACAACTCAGGGACAATGTCGACCAATACAGTTTACATACAGAAATACAGTACATCTCAGAATTTAAAACCGTAAATCCGAAACAAACGTACCGCTTCGAATCTCGCACCTTCAATCCATTGGCATCCACTTGTCACGCTGTAAATCTAAACCGCTAACTCTGGAGGGGGGTTTAAAACATTGAAAACATAGAAATGTGTGCGGAAGGCCCAGTAGGACATAATCTTATAAAACATAATAAATAAGATACTCACGGTCCGAAGACATGCACCCGGAACCGATCATCTCTTTTTTTGAAAAGTAAATACTCACATAGTAGTAGAAAATATATGTAATATGAAAGTGTGCAGATTATCATACCATTGAGCAAGGAGTGGTAAAATGTCTGTCTAGTGAAAAAGTACAGAGCCATAATTCCACTGAGCAAGAAGTGGATTCGTACGGGTTTCGGGACCTGCCCCCAAAGATATGATTCTCATATCCCAATCTTTGTGGCCACCATGTGTTGTATCATTCCTTAAAATATTTCATTTTAAGAAATGATACTCTTTAAAATCTCATTTCTAAAATCATTGGAAAACTTAATAGCATTATTCATGCTATTTCCTTTAAAATCATTTTCTTTCAACATGTTTTGTTCTAAAACATTTTCATTAGCCAAAATCATTTAAAGTGAGGCTAATAAGGATATGGGCAAGAATATCCTACCTTTTTGGATGTCAAATATGTGGCTATCTTCACGTAACCCTAGCTTTGCTTGCCTTAAAGCTTTAATATTCGATCTTCTCCACTAGATTTATGACAAAAGCAGTGTCTTAGGATATATTTCTAATTCCTAAGATGAATTGAGCTCAATCATGTTTAATTGTTTCCTATTACATTGACTCAAATCCAAGTTTCACAAACGAGTTTATAATCAGTTTGAGGGTTCTTTAAGGATTGAAATCCAATCCATGGGTTTGGTTTTCTATTTAATTTCAGTTTAAAAACAAGTTTTTAAAGAAATTTCGGAAGCATACCGGCATAAATAGGAAAAATGCCAAACCTACAATTCAAGTTTAATTTCAAAATAAATTATCCAGAATCCATCAAAACCAGTTTCCAATCAATTAAACGAATCCAATAACTGAAAACTCCCAAATTTCATTCAATTCTAACAACAATTGTTCAAATCTAACCCTAACTCAAAATTATTCAAATATAACCAAAATCAAACTTTCTTAAGCTTAAAATTCGAATCAAAGAGTGGGTTTCAAAGGATTTTACCTTAAATTAGTTGATGGAGCTTTGTTTCCCTCGGTTTCTCTCATTTTCATTTTTTTTTGTCTCTCGGCCAACTGCTGAGAGAGAGAGGGAGAGAGAGAAACTCAGAGAGAGCAAGGGAGAGAGAGAGAGAGACCGAAGAGAGAGGTGGCCGGCGATGAAGGAAGAAAGAGAGAAAGGGAGTTACCGTGGAAGAAGAAAGAAGAAAAGGAAAGAAAGAAACAAAGAAAGAGAAAGAGAGAGAGAGAAGGCTGGTCTGGCAACCATGGGAAGGGAAGGGAAAAAAAAGAAAAAGAAAAGGAAAAGAAAGAAAAAAGGAAAAGAAAAGAAAATTAAAAGAAAATACATTAAAATTAAGTGTATTTTCAAAAAATTTTGGGGTGAAAATTGAAAAACTGAAATAATTTATAAGTCCTTAAAATAACTCAAAAACTTAATCTTTAATCACAAGATTAATTAGCAAAATCAGTTTTAGGCACACTAATATACACAATTAACATAATTAAACATGTTTAATTCTAGAGGGCGTTACACAGACAGTAAACAGTTTCACTATGTTCCAGAAATTACAGACACCGGACGGACTTATTCACTTAAGGACTCCCTCCTAGACAATAACGTCGCTGTGACGAATCTCCACAGTGATTGTTTAGCGTGCACCACACGTCTTATACTCACCTAACGAACTCCGTTCGACCGGCAAAGCTTCTTCCCGAAAGTAACAAATCCCTCTCCCGAAGGACGATCTCAATAACTCATAAAAACTCACCGACGTCTCTCTGAATATTTTCTCAGTAGTAAGCTCTCAAATTCACCGACTTTTTCTCTGGAAATATTCTATTAAATCCCTGTCACATATGCTCTAAAATAAAGCTTTTTAAATAAAGTCAAGAGAATCTCATTCAAATCCACTCTTGATAAGTTCTTTATTATCTCCATGATTCTCTCTCCTAGATAGGCTCCAAAATATCTTTACGTTATCTTCACAATCTTCGATTCGAATTATGCATCAAACTTCCAAATCCAAATTAGTTATCCTCATTACAAGTTAACACTTATTCTCCACGTGTTCTTCATTAAACACGGAGAACTTCTTCTTATCCAAATCACACGTACACATCCAAATCTCAAATAACCAAACCAATTATTCCACTTTTAAAACACAACACCGTCATGTATATATT